TATTATCACAATAATAAATTCAACTTTCAAAGTCTGTAGGACATAGGTTGAACATATAAGTAGTCTTTATAGAACAAAGCGAAGGCTATTAATTCCATGCATTGCGATTCTTAAAATAATCATCAACTTTATAATAGCCTTTACTCATAAGTATATTCTTTACATGAATTTGAAATTTATTTATGGGTAGGTCAATTACATTTTGTGGAACTTTATTGAACATAGCAATACATTTACCCAGAAATGATCCTCTGGTTTTTTGAAGTCTGAAGCTTGGAACGGCAAGTTTATTTTTATTTCTTGTGTTAAGATTATGAACACTACTTTTTTTGTGAAGGAATCGTAATGTTTTCTTGTGTACATAATATTCTCATAGATGTATTGAGAGGCAACAGTCAGAATATTTATTTCTTTAAATATTTCTCTGAGAGATTCCCTAGACCGTAAATTATATATAGCACGGACAGCTCTCTTTTTTAGAATAAAAATATCCTGAATGCTAGCCGCAGAACCCCACGACAATATACCATACGTCATTACACTATGAAAATAACTAAAATATACCAATCTTGCCGTTTCAACATTTGTCAAGAGTCTAATTTTCTTAACAGCAAAAGCTGCAGAACTCAGTCTACTTGACAAGTTATCAATATGAGGATCCCATTGCAGTCGGGAATCTAGTGTAATACCAAGGAACTTTGTCGATTCTACTAACTCAACTTTTTCACTATTTACATTTATAAGTGTACTGACATGCCTTACATTAGGTAATGCAAACTTTATGCATTTCGTTTTATTTGAATTGAGCTTTAAATTATTATTGTCAAACCACTGTAGAACATTGTCGAGAGCATCATTTATATCGTCAAAACAATCATTACCCCTCTCGACTTTAAACAGTAAAGAGGTGTCATCTGCAAATAATACTGTCTCGCACAAATTCTTCGTAAAGTGAGGAAGATCATTAATATAAATTAGAAAAAGCAATGGTCCTAATACCGATCCCTGAGGTACGCCCACAGTAACTTGTGCCCCTGCAGATTTCGCTTCATATTTGATTCAATAGAAACTGTTTATTAGGAAACAACTATTAACACTTACTAACGTATGAATGTATGATTGAATGTATGAGTACGCGTAGCGCTCTTGGTAGGTGATTACGAACTGAATTTATGATATTTAAGTAATTATAATGACGACTGAACGAATTTGGGTCAAGCGGTGTAAATGCTGACAAGACAATGTACGCGCTTGCTCGTACAAGGGCTCATTTTAGTCAAAGGGCAGTTTTAAAGATATTTCTTCGCATGTGGAATGTAAGGAAGGTATTCAAATATTCTTAATGAATTAATATTTATCAGCACAGCATAGTGGATGCAAAATTGATTAAATATGTAATATAATTATATATTGAATTCATAATTGATTCATTAAATAAGATATGCAAATTTTGTTTGAATCATAGTATACAATTTTATTTAATAACGTGTGCACAGCCGAAAAGGCAAAAGTAGGTGACATTTATGTCACTGGATTATATTTTATTTATATTTGTGACGGTTTGTCTTACAAAATAAAACCTATTTTACGAATCAAATTTCACTGTAAACCCTTAACGAACCAAACATTCCCGAAAACTCTACCAAAACTACAATACAAACAACAAGAAATGCTATTGTTTTAATTAGAGAAGTAAAATCCATATTATTATTGAGCAATGTGACGCATATTATAATTAACATATATCTTATATGGTGATAAATAATTGCGTTCAAAGCTGTCAGTTGTTATGGTCACCAATGTATCCGGTCCTATAACCGCCGCTGGGTGGGTCGACGTGACCGCCGTCTGCTACACGCGTGAGATATCGCCCGTAGACGTCGCAGAATAAAATAGAATAAAAAATAGAATTCTAATGTTGTGCAATGTGTACGTTGAACTTATTTACTTCGTTCATTGATTTTGTAAACAAAAACACGTGTATTTTTTTGTTTATAAAAATTGTTAGTTTATCTAGAAAGTATCCAAATACGTTGTTGCCTAAATATATTATATTGTTAATACAAAATGCTTAAAAAAACCACTTGGTCATGGGTCATGACCACAGATTGCAAAAGGTCGTGGGTTCGATTCCCATCTTAGGGTGCCAGGGACCAAGTAGATTTTTTAAGCATTTTGTATTAATAATAATTTTCAGGATGGCATTGTGAATACAAAATTAATCAAAATATTAATCAAAATATCTAATTGATTATTTTCAGCAAAAGAAAATTACATGCAGAGCAACTATATTGAATATACTGAAGCCTTAAAACGAATTTTGTAAATAAGCAGTTTCTTCACCATTACAGATCTTGATTATCAGTAACTACTACAATTAGTTAGCCCACAGTGATCAGACTATTTATGAGATTTACTTAAATTAAAAAAAAAAACATGCCGCTTAATGAAGACGCACGCGTCTTTTTATTTGTTTTTGATTGACGTCTAATATTTGGCAGCTAATTTAGAATAAAGACACAGGACTTTTTAATTTAGACAGCTAGAAAAAAATATTTACCATCGCAGATAAAATTAACAATAAATAATACTCGGTTAACTCTTTGTTTTAATTTCGTCTCACCATAAAAACCTTCGAGACTTCAACGAATGTTAATGAAACAGCAAAGATTTGCTCTTAGCAACACGTTTAGCGATTCGCTGGTTATTAATATTAATTATTCATATCCCTTAATTTTAAAACATAATTTAAATAAAGAACCTGATGCCTTTATTATAACTTTATGTTATATGTATAATAGCGTTGAGTTAAATTTGTAGTTGTGAAGTATGTAACGTTCAAAGAATAAGACATAAATAATCAAAATTATTTAATTTAAATATACATTTTTAACATTCCATTTAAAGGCAATCTGTCTACTTAAAATATAATAAATGCAATGTCTTTGTTATTTATAAAGGATGTGCGAAAGGTTCAGGCTAAAAGTAATTTCTGAGCCACCAACAATGTAATAAATGTATATTGAAACCCTTTTTTTATTTTAATCATAGCCACAGTAGGATTTTCCTTAACATAGCAAAGTATATTGTAACATGTTTCGACAACAGTGTTGAAAATTCTTACGAATAATATTTATTTCATGTTTTGAAAAGAAAAGCTATCTGTAGTTTCTGAAAAAAAAAACAATTAACACTCGTTGTTTTAAAAAGAAAAAAGTTTAAACACCTTCGACCCAAAACATCATTCTTAAAAGTATAAACGATCTATTCATTCATTCTGGTGCTACGGTGGCACAGACAGAGAGTTCAAACTTATTACACCCCTCCCCTTTTTGCGTCGGGGGTTGACAAGACTTTTGATTGCATGAATATTGATTACAGAAGTGATAATATAATATAATTGTCATCCTCAATCGTCATTAAGGATGACAATAGCCGCGGTGATGACCGGGCAGGGATGAGTGTGGTGGTATGATTATTAAAACTAATAACTTTGTCAGTCGTTTTTACTCAAATTCCCTATATTCAACGTATTTATTGTAACAACAAGTTTATGATATCTTTTTATCAAATATTTTAAAAAATCCGGTCAATCATAATAAGGTATAGCGTTTGTTGTCTGTTCGTTGAGAATTCTCCAGAATTACAGTGCAATAATTGGCAATTAACATTTTTATTGTATTAAATATTTCATTTCATTGAAAGGTTTAACTCGGAACAGGGTTGTTTTTTGTTTACCCAATAAATACAAAAGACACTCTACAACCTGTCAAATCGTCATAATGACACTCAAATGTTATATTATGATTTTTTTTTTGTGTTTACCGCGTGCCACGGTGGTAGTATCGCTTTGTTTGCGTCACAGTGTGTGTGTATGAGTTATGATGACCATAAAGAGATCATTAATAAATTGAAAATAGAGATGTCTCGGTGCCAGCGGCGTTTGCGTGACGTGAGCTGGGCATCCTTGCATCAAGGTTTAACGGAAAGTTTTCATCGAAATGTGACTTTAACTAGAGTTCTGATGACGCTGCCTACACTCTATTGAGTGACACTTTACAACTCCACTGTTTGATTCGCCATATAATAAATATTGTAGAACATGCAGTTCATGTTTCATACAAAATTAATAATAACATACATTGTGTATTTTTTTTATATCAAAAGGATTATTTATGAACAAGCTAAAACCGACTTCAAATATCAAATTATTTTTAATTACTACAAAAGCGGTTAAAACATTAATCTACCTCTTTCAATTTAAGCCAGACTTAAATCTAACCACTTTTTAGTTGCCTTCCCTATTGAATAAAATCAATCAAATTGGGAAAAGAAGGCCATAACCCACAACGCGGGTTCAGTACGTCACACATCTCTGGCCTAGTGTGAGATATCTCTATCTCTATAAAAACTCATAGGTTTTTCGTAAAGAGGTTACATCTCGCTTGTCTAAACAATATCAAGCCTATGAATAGATATAATTTTAAATTATGTTTTTTTTTTTGTATTGTTGATTTGCGTAAATCAGTTTTTCTATTATAGAAAAATCATTCATTATGATCTATGGAATGAGAATTCATTTAAATTTCAAAAGTTTAATAACAGATATGTTTTTAAGTAAGTTAAAAAGAAACAATAATTTGATTCGCAAATATTATATCTACTACATGACTCATACGAAAGACATCAACGTGCGCATACAAAATTTCCCCTTACCTATGGAGATAATAAATGATGTTTATAAAGTCCAATGAAACTAACTAATAGCTTTTAAAAAAAAACTTTTCTATATCCAACATTTATTTCGATGTGAACATTCTGTTCGTCCATTATAATTGGATCTGTCCCGTGTGTGTATAGGTGCAGCTAAAATTTTGATTGTTTCACACACGGGGAGGTCATAGGGGCCATGTTATATTAGCCACTTGTGTCGGTGAATCAATGAGCCGTTACTAGTCTTGCGCAACCTATATAAGCGGTCAGTGCGCGGCGCCGGCGCAGTCGAAAGCTTATGTAGTTCGGGTTAGCCGACTTAACTTCTCATCTTCCTGCAAATTTTACTTTATAATTTACCTTTATTATTAAATTGCCTCTTTAATTACTTCAAAATGGCTGTGCACTTTATGTTGATGGCGCTGTTCACCGCCTGCGCTAACGCGGGAGCATTGCGTGAGTTTATTTTAAAGATTTTCGTTTAATTAGGTTTCTTGAAAGAGAAAAGGATTTTTGATTCTATATATTTTTAGGAACTTTTATTTAAAAAAAAACAACATTAAACGTCCATAGTGCCATATTAGTACATTTACAAAATTAACTTAATTATTGTACCAATTTATATTTGGAGGCTATATTATGGACTACAATAGTGGAGTCCGAAAACGTCCGAAAAAAAGAAATGTTAGATTTACAAATAATAAAAACATTATACATTCGTTGATGATCTACATAATGGTATTATTGTAGAACACCTCGTTGTACTTGTTTATAAACAACAATATGCATTCTAACAATTTTTTATTGATTGATTACATTTAATTCAAAAAATTAAATGTTTTAAAAAATATTATTTAAAGATAATTCAGTTTTGTTCGAAACGTTGTGTTATGCTAAACTAGTGACTAAATGTTGTTTTCTTTTCAAATGCGTGTTTCCAATAACGTAAATTTGTTATGAATAAAATCAGACAAAAAAAAACAATTTATCAATCACCATGAATAAAAACAACGAAACGTTACCAAGTAACCTGTTAAGTCTATGAAGTTATTAAAAAATATTTTACGAAATTTAAGATTCAAAGTCACGGTTGGCTTACCTACCCTGAAGCTTTATTTTCTAAAATAAAGACTCTGGTCTAAAGTCTTTTCATCATTATTTAAGTTTCAGAAATTTTGAAATCGATCCCTTTGTCTTATCTGGTATTATAATTGGCATATTTGTATATTATCGTTCGTTACCTGCAACAGCTGGTTCATTAAATTTGAAGAAGTCACATAAATGAATATATTAATAAGCTTATTGCTGGTGACATCAAAGTTCGAATCAGAAAAATTACTTATGAAGTTTAATTTCCTACAGTAATTTAACTTGTATTCTTTGACAGAAACTTCTAGAGGAGTCAAACCTCCTTCTGTGTTCTGCATGTCAAGACTAAAAGAAGAGCTGATATGATGGTAGATTTGTCATATCCTGACCATAATTTTATATTATTTTACCATTGTCATGATGTCTTCTATAATATGAATCGTTCTTGTATGTTACTTAAGCCATTAAGCTTGAGATAGTGATAATAAGCATGTAGTTTTGCAAACGAAACCGGCTTACTTCCATTAAGGATCTTTAAAGATTATTAACTTGTATCGAACCCAAGACTTCACAAGAGAACTCCAACCAATTAACCGTTCCAAAACCAAGGTCCATATATTTCATAACGTTTATCTTTATACAATTACGCAAGTGTACATTTTTAATTCAACATTCACACATTGACATTTAAAATATTATATTTTATTTGTTTAAAATATTAAATTTATAGTATAAATATATAATCAAATAACGGTAAAAGTAGAGCCATTTTCACTGCAATTTCTATTTAATTGAATTGTTTTTAGTGTTCTCAAAGTTATTCTTTATCCTTAACTCCTTAATGCCTTAACGCACAACTTTCATATCCAATACATATAATGGGAAAGTGCGTTCGATTGTCTTTATTTCATATGGTAAGAGAATGTCGCGATGCTACGTTATTTATTGTGAGGAGATAGTTGGAAGGCACAAGAGTAACATACGTATATCACTTGTTATTACGAAAAAACTAAGTTAGTCCACTGACCACGAAAGCGAAGCCGCGAGTTACGTTTAGTATATGTATTAAAGCACGTGGCTTCCAAGGTCGATGAGATGAAAACACGACGCGCTCAACTCACAACTTTACTTTTACAAAATTTAGCTTTTAAATGGCATTGAAATTAAATTCAGTAGTGATGCAAGGACTTGCAAACATTAACATCGTTTATTACTGTACCGTAGTACCTTATATCTCGTATCGTACCCACCATAGTACATGATTAATGTGGAGAAATATGTACAACAATATTGCATTTCCAATCTCACTGACGTCAATCCAATCGGTAACCAAAAAAATTTACTTGTATTTTTCATTTCTCGTGCGCTTTCGACCGGCAATTAATTGCGATCTTTTGACGTGCGCGAATCAACATAATTCGCGCGTGATATTTGTTGTAGTCTTCCTGTCCTCTGCCTTAATGCGCCCTCGTTTTTTCTTTGTTTTAATCACTGAAGTTCATATGTGAATTCTATATATACTTATAGTTGACTTAATCAATTATTTTTTTAAGATAAACAATAAGAAGCCATTTGGAAATTTGAATTAATATTTGTAAAAAAAATTGTTTCGAATGTTAAGGTTGTCGTATTTCATCAATATATGTAAACTAAACACTAACAGTGAAATTCTACAAACTCCATCTGGTATATTTGCTGATTCGAAATATGTACCTTTTAATTCAATAACGCTTGAATGATTAGCTTTACAACTGTGGATATTTGACTAACCTACATTTCAATTATTTAAGAAAAAGCTGTGCTGTTTAATGAATATTCAATTATTCAAATATATTGAGCCGTCATCGCGACTTTGGCCGCATAACCTTCAACCGGATAGTGTGGTAACACTCTAGGTATCTCACTTATCAATCAAACAAATCTTTGTCTCTGTATTAAGTGAAAAATTTTCATAACATAGCATTAGTAGTGTATTTATTGAAATTAGCAATGAGGTTATGGAATATATATAATCATTTTTTAGAATCATGTTTTCGCGGTTCCCGGAACATTCTTAAGTGGGCATGGCTCACTTTAGAATGGTCCGGGTCCTTACACCCATATTCGTAGGATCTCTCAGTTGTCTACTTATCGGTCCATCTGTGAGGTGGTGAACCAAGACAATTATGTTAAGTAAATAAATAATTTTTAAACCCTACAATGCTAAATATATGTATTACACATCAAATGAAGGAGCTTATTATGAGAATGTCAATCAAATATATATTTTTTTTACATATGAGAAATCTATAGCCTTTAAAAATAAGTCTTTGTGCGGTACACTTTGCGCGCGAATTCCACTCTAATTGGATTACACATGTCTGATGGAATTTCATCAATATTTATTAAAAATCTGCAGAAGTCAGTTTCCCTCGATACAACATCCCCCAGCGACCGCGACACTTGAATATCAATATAATAACAAAGTTTTTCAAAACATTCGAAATATTATTTCGAAGCACCCTACTCTATCTATCAGTCATATATAGCGATGCTTCATTTTAAAATTGAAATAATACGAGAACACCCGCAAATGTACAATATTATAAAGAAACACATCGACCACGCTTTTAGTAATCTATCAAATAAATAATGCAAAAGATCTTGAGACATTGTTTAGAGGAAATGACCTTAACAGTAATGCCTTTGTAGAAAACTATGAATGCAGGTCATGGAGCATCCTCCATTAATTATAAAGACAACATTACATTACTGTCGACTGCTAAAGATTTACTTCACGTTGAAATAAATAAATTTTATTCTTTTACAAATTATTTGTTACACAAAATCTTTTTATGTAGAGTAAGTAGATCTTGGGAAAAGTAGAAAAATTTTTTGTTATAGATCAGCTCAACATTTCAGTTTTTGTAATTTCTTTGACTTAACAAATCAAGAAAAGTATTTAGTTATATACAGGTAATATTCAATGCCCTCATGGCCGGGCTCCTTTAATTAAACTACGGTAATGTTGCCAGTTTGAAGGGCCGGCATTGACATGGCTCGGCTCGGTGCTGTTACCTAACCGGGCCCGGGTCGCGTGGTCACTGCACGTGGCGTTGCATAACCGCGACCCAGCTGACATGTGACGCCGGATTTGTCCAAGTTCAAGCAGCCAGGCAACAACTAGACTAGTCACGTTACTGGTTTATATTGACATTATTTAAATATTTATGAACAATAAATCAATAAAATATACCAGTCCTTTAACGATTATTCGGCCCTAAATTAAGTGGCGGTTGTCCAATAGCAACTGAGTAACAAATATACCTACTCTTTATATGTGGTACCTACACTGGTATCTACTATGTATAAATAATTAATAGATATTAGCAATTTGAGTTGTCCTGATCTTAATTATATTACCCAAACGTGAAACACTTGTTCTAAGTTAATAAATAAAATACGAGTGTGTGTAGGTGTGTGTGTGTGTGTGTGACAAATGCAGCTATAGCTATTTAGACTAGATATCATGCTATGGATTAGTTTTTGATTTGATGGAACCGTTTAGTGAGATAGAAAGTACTTAGCCTATGTTACTCCATAATATAATATGTTAATCTATATTCGGAATTATCCATATATACAATTTCATTAAAATCCCTTGAGTAGTTGCTGCCTGAAGAAGTAACAAACATCCAAACCCACATACTTTCTCCTTTATAATATTAGTAACATAACATTTTAAAAGGTTGACATTTTGTTCCATCTTTCTTCGTTCGTCTTAATCAAAGTGTCCTATACATTTAATGTACCTACTAATATATTATGTATATTTTTCAATTGTTCATCTTCCTACAAACATCCATGTAACGATTGCCTTAAAATATCACATATTTATGATATGCAAGTACTATGCTTGTGTACAATAGTTGTTGCATCTTGCACAACTGTTGTAGCTGTTGTGGTGCCAGCCCGCGGCAAGCGTGTGCGCCTGCTTCACGCTCCTCCGACGCCTCTTGCCTAATAACTTACAGGATATTCGTTATTATTCACCTACATTCATCTATTTATAAAGGATGTCCAACCATTCGTTCCGTCAAAGAACCTTCTGGAAATAAATAATTAAACATAGAAGCGCACCTGCGTGCCAACATTGTATGAGCAACGATTTCTTTAGATTTCGCACGCATGTTCGTTCAAATACATAATATATTTGATTTAATAAACAAATTATTATGTAGATACTTGCACAGTTTGAGATTTTTTGTCAAATACGTTGTAATTTTTATTAATTGATACATTATGAAATAGGCCAGGTCCCATCTTACAGTCTACAAACTCACAAAATGAAAATGAAAATGAAAATGAATTTATTGCGACATTACCAGAACATATTAATGAAAAATAGATTGTTCTTACAATTTATACACCATGTATATCATGGTATAAACATAATAAAAAACTACCACATATCCTGCCTGACGCCGTGATTTTTTTAGGAAACACCCAACTAATAAATAATTACCATATTACCTACTGGTGTATATAATTATTAATATTATTACCGTTGACCCTTAGCGCAATACTTCACCGCCTGCTCCTCATCAAACCCTCACCTAGACCAGTGCATAGAGCAGGTGATATCAGCGGGCGGTGCCAAGTTCGTGGAAGGTATCCCGGAGCTGGGCGTGGCGCCCCTCGACCCGCTGCAGCTGGGCAAGGTGGTGGTCAACAACCCCGCCCTCAAGCTCACCTTCACTGACACTGTCGTCACCGGACTCAAGGGGTTCAAGCTGAACTCTTACAAGTAAGTTTGCTTGAGCCGTGGCCGTCGAGATCACCCAACTTGTACCATTTTAGATTACACCTAATCTTATTCAAGAGAGGCTTAAGTAATTGACTCAAAAAATCCGTCTTTATGCCGTCGTTTAACTATAATCCAAATGTGTTACGGCAGTAGTACTTAATCATATAGTTTTCACCGTAGAATGAACGGTGCGAGGAACAAGGCGACGATAGACTTCACGGCCAACGTGACTCTGAAGGCGCATTACGAGATCGACGGACAAGTGCTCATCTTACCCATCCGGGGGAACGGACCGGCCAAGATTAAAATTAGTGAGTTATTGAAAATATCCTGATTTCACTATTAGTAGGTAGGATATTGTATCTCAGTTGTATTTATAAATTAATAAATCATCTCTTGCAATTAAACATAATATATACAACAACAACAACCGTAAATATAATAGCATCGGCTGTAAATACATTTTATAAGAATATAACACGGTTCAATCTATGATCTCATGTCGAACCATCAAAATGACCTCAGTTCAGTGTACTTGGTACCCCGGTTTATTAACGAATTACCAACAGAATTAAGAAAAAATATTATATTAGCAAATATCAAAACAAAACTATAACATACTTTTTAAACAGCATGAAACATAATTGAGAAATGAAGGCACACCATGTCTGTGTTAAGTGTAAAATGAAGGTGTGTACCATTGTTGATGTAACCTAACAAAATTTGTACAGATATATAAACAGCATTGGCACAACCCTTCGTGGTTTACAAATGCTGTAAAAAACTGAAAAGTGTAACTATGTTTAATACTGTAATATATATTGATTTCGTAAAAATTAAAACCATCTAGGTATAATATATAGTTAATCAAATCGTTTACAGCAAATCTCAACATCGTAATCAAATATGACTTCGACACGAAGGACGGGCACTGGGTGGTGACCAACTACAAGGACAATTACAAAATGGACCACGCATACTTCAAGTTCAGCAACCTCTTCGGTGGCAACAAGGAACTCGGTGAGAACTTACTACAACTTTACCGACTCTACGTATTTCAAATGTACACTGAACCTCACCAATTTAGACAATACAATCAGTAGATTTTTTTTAACCGAGTAGCATAAACTTACTCTTTGGAGCAGGCCCTCCCAACAACCTTCAAATGCATTAATTACAAGATGGTTTCCTAAAAGAAAAGTAGTTTCGTTATCACCTTAAAAATAGCAACTTTTTATTAAAATTCGATGACATTAAAAACAAAACTAGCTAGGTATCCAGATTTCATTTAGTTTAGTCTACACAAACTACACAATTCAGTCACACAGTTATACCTATATCCTAGATAAATATAGGAATCACACTACGAACACGTCTTAACACACGCTATATTCCAGCGGACACAACACACAAGTTCACCAACCAGAACTGGGAGATAATAATGCAAGAGATCGCGCCGCCCGCCATCAAGGGCATCATCAGGAGCTGCGTGGACGTGGTAAACAACTTCTTCGGGAGTGTTCCCGCCACGGAACTGCTGCTGTGAATGGTGTGCACATTTTTTATACAACGGACGACTCAACTAACATTCTTCTATGTCATAAAGTAACACAGCGATTACATCGGGTTATACAAATCTGTCAAACTTCACTTTAAGCTTTAACGAATTGAGGGTAGGGTAGTAAATGAATTGTGATAATTTGACATACTATCTTTACCTGCATAATGCTAAACCTCATCGTTTAACAATTACCAATTGCTATATTTATTAACTAGCATACTTATAGATATTTTTATTATAATCTTATCTATCATCATATACATCATATAACACGAATTGAAAAATACCCAGTTTCTAAAATATTTATATCTCAATGTTTTCTTTATATCATTTTCTGAAAATGGTGATTTGTTATACTTATTTGTAATAGGTACTTACATAGTTGGACCTTAATTAATATGTATAAACAAAGACGCTTCTCATTATATAATGCTTTACACATGTATAACATTTGAATTAAGTTGACCTAATGACTTCATGTTTGTGTTACAAAGGAATTCAGAAGTGATATCGTTTCACGACTCTATAGTGATTAAATATAATTTATTAACAGAAGTTTCATGTTACCGAATGAATGTTAAATAAAAAATTAAGAATTCCTTAGAAAATGCACGGATTTGCAGAAGGTGCGCGATTCGGATCCCGCATGAGATAGTCTGATTTTTTTAATTATTTCAGACTAGTTGCTTTCCAGCGACGTCGGCCGCGTTAATTTTTATCCCATTTCACTTGCGTATTGTTTAGTTTCTCATACCTAAGTTTTTTTTTAAATCGGTCCAGACGTACCTATTATAATATTTAAAAAGATTTCCATATATCGTGATAAAAATTAGTATTTGAGTGTGAGAACATAATTGATAACAAAAATAACATTATAATAAATATTGAAAATTTTCAAGGTAAATCATTTTAATACAAAAGAAAACACTAACTGTATATTTTATGCTTTACTAGATGGCGTCAAATATATTTCTACATCGCACTCCTTTGGTCAAGTTTGATTTCAAATAAAAAGTAAGATCTTTAAGGTTCGCTATACTGATAAATTAAGTAGGTCGGTGGCGTAGTGGATTAGAGCTGTGGCCCGCGATCGTTGTTGATAAGCAACTTTCACAAGGGTAGGTAACGGGATGGCTGACCAAAAAATTATTATTTCAATCTACTGCGTGATTCGGAAAGCACGTTTAGAAGTTATTACTGAGCTGATCGACGTTTAGCCGTGCAAATGAATGGCACTATTCTATCATAGGACTAGCCTCCTAACTGAGTGGTAAGTGTAAGTTTTACGCTAACGCGTTCACTAGTGAGCGCGTTAAGAATTTGTATGGAGATTTGTAGTTCTTGGTAGTTACCGCTAGGGGCGCTGTACCGGATTCTATACGTGAACGTAAACGTCAAAAAAACTTACACTAAGCGCTCTGGTCGGATCTTTCACCCAGATGGCTACGGCATGTTCATTATATATTAACAATTGAAACTTTGAAATTCATTTAACATTAACCTCACAGCAGTTTAAAAGTCGACTGAGAACTCGTGATTTTTAATGTTCTTAGTCTATTTATATCGGTAACTGTCTAGTAATCTCTTGCAATGAGCGACAAAAAGAATCGTTTAATTATTCCATACTAATATTATACATGCGAAAGTAGGTCTGTGTATAATATATCTGTTACGCTCTCATGCCAGAATTTACTTGAGATAGGACATAGGTTGCTTTTTATTGCTGTAAACATTGTGAAAAAAATTGTAATAACGATTTACCTGAATCCCTTTGTAGCACAATCATGATAATTATTAGGTACCAGTCGCCAATTTAATTCAAATGTTATTTATGTTATAACTATACCACGGGGACGAAGGGGAGGGGAAAAGCTAGTCTTAGCATAAGGGAAAATCTCTCTCACTGTGCATAACTACTGAAAGTCGAGTCTCCTTAGCTTTTTGTTAATTCATTTAGAAGAGCACTCGCCTGGTTAGTGTAAGGTCGCTGGTTCAAGTCCAGTCTGTTGGTACCTGGGACAATTTGTTTTTAAATATTTTTCTAATTTGACTTAACAAACTTAACTTTATAGTTTGTTCTTAGGTGAGACCATCCACAGGGTGATCAATGAGAACTGGGAGCCAGTGATAAGAGACATCGCCCCTGTGGCCTTCGAACAAATCATCAGAGCGTGCGTTGATGAGTGCAAAAAATTATTCGCACATGTGCCCGCCTCTGAACTTCTACTACCTTGAAATTATATAAATCTATATATAATTTAGGATAACTTTTACAATCGTCAGTGTTTTCCAAAACTTTACAATTTGGGAGAAACTAGAACAATTTTAATGGTAAACAACTGAAATTTTTGCGTGCAACATGAAAGTTTATGAAAATGCAATATTGCCACAAGTAACATTTGAAATTGTTAATTAGGCAGTTACTTACAAAAAAAAAATTTAAACCAGTAATACATTTCATTGGCATTAATATAAGTAATATCTATCGTACTGTTAGAATATACGTGTATACTTTTAAATTTAGTATATATATTGTCCGCCTTCTCAACAGTCCTTGTACTTGCATTCTTATGTTAATAAAATAGCCGAAACATAAGATAGGAACTCACTATTTTTCTGCAATGTTGTACTGCTAGTATTCCTTAGTGCTTTAAGACATAATTTGAGAATAATTAATAAACACTAGTTAAATATTCCAATATTAGGATTAGGATAAGTTAATTACATATTTGTTTTATATGATGTGATAATTGTTACTAAGAGATCTAGTTTAAGCATTGATTTAGACATATTGAAATAAATAAAATATGTTAAGTGATACAAAAATAGTTCTTTTATTTAACACAACTTAAAAAAAATTACACAGAAATAAATCAACAATTTATTATTGTACATTTGTTTGTATATAAAATATGTTTTAACAACAACTTTAACCTTAAAGCATAAAAAATATAGCTTTTTTTCTTATTCTAAGTAGTTAGAAGATATAATATAATATATATTAAACAATAGGCATTATTAAATGCAACTTTCAATCCTTTTCAAAATCATTCAAATTCTTTATAAATCCAAGATATAATTTGATTAATATTATTTCATATTCAGAATTCTTTTTACTAATTATATAAATATATCTTTAGCGAGGGCACATTGCATGGCGCCCTCCGTCCACGGGCAGGCTAGCTCCCGTGATATTACTAGCTAAATCACTGGCTAGAAAAGCTATAGTCGCTGCCACTTCATCTGGCTTCCCCGGTCTTCCCAATGCATGTGTTTCTTTGGTTCTTTCCAAGAATGCCGCATACTGTTCATCACTTAAACCGCCACGCTTTTGAAGCTCTGTTAAAATCACACCCGGATTCACACAGTTTACTCTTACACCTTTAGAAGCCAGTTCTAAGGCAACACATCTTGTGAATTGATCAACAGATGCCTTTGATATATTGTATGCCAGTACACCAGGGAAAGATCGGATCCCGTTCACACTGGATACATTTACAATGTTACCTTTGCTTTTGATCAGATGTGGAACAGCGAGCATGCTAAGGTAATAAATTGAGCGAACATTTGTGTTCATGAGCCTGTCATATTGAGCTAGAGATGTATTTTCTATAGTGCCGGTTTCGATTATACCAGCATTGTTAATCAAAACATCCAACTGACCATAGTGGTCTATTGTATTTTTCACAATTTTTTCTATGTCCTTCTCCTTGGTTAGATCGGCTTGGACGATGAACGTTTGAGCTGGTTTCTCACAATCTTTGCTTACTTTCTGTAGATTATCGACATTTCGGCCGGTCAAAGACAGTCTAGCACCAAGTTTTGATAGAAAGACTGCCGTAGCTGCTCCAATGCCGGAACTTGCGCCGGTCACAATAACCACTTTTCCAGCGAAATTCATTTCGTCGATATTTTTTGATGGATATTATACAATACAATAGTTTATTAGCAACAGTTATCACTTTCAGAAAACAAGTTATTACGTAATTTTAGATAAATCGGTATACCTTCTCGAAAAATAGAACGTTGTTTACATTGAATTAAAGATAAGAGTATGTTTTCTTTGACGAGAAATGTAACGCTTGCTCTTGGCTTTTCTGTAATTTTCTATTGATGGTACTTTAATATTTATGTAAACATGATTATGATATATTTAATTTAATTTAAACGAGTTTATACTTGTTTACAATGTGAAAAGTGAATAAAAAAGTAAGAAGAAAACGAAGAACAGTATAAGCCAAAGAGCAAAAAAAAATAGTGTTTTTTTATTCTCTTTGGAAAACATAAAATCTCACGTCAGTCAACGTCAAGATGACAATGACATGACAGTTTAACTTTTTTTAGGTGACGTCAAGCGATGCTTACAGCTGATTAAAAATGTTATTAAGTGATTTTTTGCGTAAAACCGATTTTAATCGAATTTCGCGTTCTTGATCTTGGAATGAAAAATTATAATCGTTTTAACTTATTGAATAGTGCAGAATAACTATTGGCATAGTTGGTAGTAGCTTCGCTTTTTGTATATTGTGCTTTAATTTTTAAATAAACTCAAAATTAAGAAGAAACATTTTCATAAAATACGAGATGGTACTTTATGAGCTTTTGAATTGAACTACTTGTCTAAACAAACACAAAAAAAATATAATATAATGTTATCTCTTATACAGTCGCATAGTTTGCAGTGATTTCTAGTTAAAAAAAAACTAGTTAAGCTTAAAAACTTCGAAAATAGTCTTAAGTTTCCAACTTTGCAAATTTCAGTATTCATAATTTTTAAGTACAAATTTTGTATTCGATTTCAATAAAAACGATACCTATAACTAAAATTAATAATACATAATGCGATGCACTGCGACCGTCCCAGCAGTTTATTCGACCATATAGATGATTTTTCAATGAGGTGATTCTACGGAAACATGAATTTCCGATTTGATACATCCGTCGGTTAATCATTATTGTTCTTCAATAAAATTTGAATCATATATGGATTTATTTTTTTATTTTTAATTTAAATAAATCAAATATTCTTGAGTTACCTCCCTTTAACCCATAAGTAACAAAAATAAATTTCTGAAATTGATTTAGAACTCTACTAGCGATGCATTAAGGTTTAAAGTTAAGCATTTAACATTTTTATATAATCTGAGATGCTAACTGTAAATTATTTAATTATCTACATTAACACTCATACAAGCTATATATAATAATATTCTTTGATTTGAATATAAATATTAATCTAATCTTGACGTTTAAAATTAGTGATTATTTATTTTTAAAATCCATTATCCTTATTAAAAATACAAATCTAGTGGTTTTTTATAATTTAATAAATTTTACTCCTTAACTATCATGCAAATTAATTATAAATAGTCTTAATTTTAACTTTAATTAAATTATCAAACTACATAATTAATACAACTAAAGTCTGATTCATATGGAGCATCATTTTATGAGCTTCATAAATTCTTAAAAAAATAATAGGAAGCATTAATGTCTATGATAAAAAAACATTACAATTACAACATATACTTATGACTTACCCCCTGATCAAAGAGAATTTAAACACTACGTGGCCCTGATGTTTGACATATCAATGTAAGTAAATAAAATTATGTAAATATGTAGTGAATTCCAAAAAAACATATTTAGTTTAGGATTATTAGTTGAAAATTTCAGTTTTATTTATGGCTGTAAGTTCCATAATATGCATTAGTCTAATATTACATGCCCTATTTATCATATGTTTACGAATATTTACAGAAAGAAGTTATCCACATTCATATTGGTCAAGCAGGTGTCCAAGTAGCTAACGCTTGTTGGGAACTATATTGTCTAGAACATGCCGTGAGACCTGACGGTATCCTTGCCTTTAACAATGATGACAGTAGCAGTGGTACATTTTTTGGATCGACAGGTGCTGGAAAAGTGGTGCCAAGAGTCGTCATGATAGACTTAGAGCCTACTCCAATAGGTAATGAGTTATTAAACAACCCATTAAATATTTCAATGGATTTTGAAAAGACAAATTTTTATTTGTTGTGCCTGCAAATATCCTGTTTATCGTGCACGATACATTTTCTATTCCAATTGATTTTTATTGCAGTACAGTACTACTAAATTATAGAAAATGTGGCATTTTATTTCAAATGCCACATTTAGGTAAATATTTTCTTGCTCCATTTTATAGATGAAATACGAACAGGAACATATCGTCAGCTATTTCATCCCACATCTTTGCTAACGGGTAAAGAAGATGCCGCAAGTAATTTTGCTCGCGGCTATTTCGGTGTTGGGAGAGAAATGATCGATTTAGCTCTCAACCGAATCCGAATCGCGGCTGAAGATTGTAACCACCTTCAAGGCTTTATTATAGTTCGATCATTTGGTGGCGGTACAGGATCAGGCTTCACCGCTCTTCTACTTGAAGGTCTATCTAGGGATTATGGAAAGTTATCGAAAATTGAATACGCCATTTATCCATCACCAAAAATATCACCTATCATAGTAGAACCTTATAATGCTGTACTTACAACTCACGCCTGTATGAATACTGAAGACATTTGCTTTATATTTGATAATGAAGCTCTTTATGAAATTCTGGCGAGATCGCTGGATGTACCGAGGCCTACGTATACAAACTTGAATAGACTTATAGCTCAGGTATTACTTACATAATTTCGATTACGACAATAAAAAATTTGGCTTCCGATTTATCTTATTATTAACTGATTTATCAACAGGTGGTATCATGCATGACAGCTTCATTAAGATTTGAAGGGTCATTGAATGTGGAACTAGTGGAATTTAGAACAAATTTGATTCCATATCCGAGAATTCACTTCCCTTTAGTGACATTTGCTCCATTTGTACCTCCAACGAGGGCATTACATGATACAATGACAACTCAACAACTATTGATGTCGTGCTTTGAACCTTCAAACCAAATGGTAAAGTGCGATCCTAGATCTGGAAGCTACATGTCGTGCTGTTTGTTGTTCAGAGGTGATGTCAACCCGAACGACATTAACTCTGCTATAAACCAAATAAAAGGCATGAGAAGCATTCGATTTGTATCATGGTCTCCGACAGGATTTAAGGTATGATGATGTTGATGTGCCCATATTTCCCACTAATATCATATGTTTTGGTCTAAGTTCGTACTATATTTACGATTATCAGATTCCATAATTTTTTCTTAAGTGTGGCAAGGGCTTACGCATCAATTATTATATGATTTTTAGATTGGTGTAAATTATCAGCCTCCAGTTACAGTTCCCGGTGGCGACTTAGCAGCTCTTCAAAGAGCTGTAGTAATGGTCTCCAATAACTCGGCAGTTCGAATGGCTTGGGCACGGCTGTGTAAGAAGTTTTCTTTGATGTTCGCAAAACGAGCATTTGTTCATCATTATGTCGGTGAAGGATTAGAAGAGGGTGAATTTAAGAATGCACAGAGTAATGTCAAAGCTCTAATCAATGATTATAAAGAAATGGAAGATTAATTATTAGGCAAAGCGAGTGAAAACCAATTTTACTTACATATTTACACAGTATATATATATATTTACACAGTAAAGGATTTAAATTTTTATACGTATTTTTAATTTAATTTCCTCGAAACTGACCTCGAAACTTTAGCATTGTAAAAAGTTTTGTAAGTATTTTTTGATATTGCAACATAAATACATCATCTGCGTAAATTTCAGAGTGTACTTAAATAATTTGTTACGCTGACGAAATGTACTGCAATTAATTTTTATCAGTACTGGCAAAACGGTATCAAGTTGAAAGACAAATGTCCATGCGTATAAGCAATAACAATAATATTAGTAGTGTATAGCGGACTGTTTCCCCACGATGGAAAAAACGTCGTAATGTAACAAAAGGACTTGCTGTTATATACTACAATATAATAGATATCTCACTGAGATAGAATACAGTTTTTAAATAAACAGTGTTTAATTAAAAATAAATTGACGGCCACCTATTTCCACCGGACTTGAGCCCTATCATTACATTTTACGATTGACTGGATCAAAATTTTAAACACCAATATTTTAAAAGCCTCTATGTTATCCCTACAAATAATATGAATTACTGTATGGATTAGGTCCCCCTACCTTTAAGTAAACAAAACAAATAAAGGTTTATGGACTATGCTTTTTGCCTTCTTTTTTTTTGAGACTATTTAAGAAACACCAAACATTACGCCAAACATCATCCAAACCTAATAGTGTGTAATATAAAACTAATCGATACCAGCATCGATCACTAAAAAGAATTGTATCTTAAAAGAAACGACATAAAAGTATCTACACTAGAAGATAACAATTTTTAATGAATGACAGAATTAACAGCTATTTCAGCTGATATCAATTCATAAAAAACAAAAAGTTGACCTTTTAAAATAAATACAACTGCTAATCTTCGAAGCAATCCCCAATCAAAATAGACTAGATACAAAAGCGTTGCTACCGCCGTATCTACCGTAACAATTATACCCCCGGATCACAGCGGCCCCCAATGTGCATAAGCAATAATTAATAAAAAAACTTCCCAAAGGGAATTGTTCAATTTTGGCTTTTCGTGGACAAGCTAATTAGTAAAAACTATGTAAACAGTAAAATATTATTAAAATTGAAAAAAATATTTTTAATACTCTCGTCATGGGAAGCTAAACATTAAAAATATCACATATAAAAGTATTTTTTGGATTCGGATGTGTTTTGTTAACATGTTTCACTGTGTTTCCATATCAATAAATGTTATTGAATTACTATTACTAATAGTATCGATTAATCGATAAGTTTTATTTTACATAAAAAAGAAAATAATTAGAGTATTTATATATTAATACATATACATTAGGTAATCTTTTGCAATATCGTGTATCTTATATATTAAAAACATAAGAAATAATCCTTTTCGGTTAGATATATAATTTAATTTACACAAACCATCGATTACTTTTTTATCGATTATTAATTTTTATATGGCAGCACCATTTAACTTTTGTTAATAAAGATCCAAGCCAAGAATAAACTATTAAAAAAAAATTTGTCAATAAAGACATTTGAGTGATAATTCTTACGTTTTGCTTTTGTTGTTACTTTCGACCAATTTTTTATTAACCTCTCGAAATGATGACCCGGCTTTACCTATGGACACCGAACCAAGCACAAGTTGTGGACATCGTCGGCAGCTTTGTATAAATTGTGAAAGATCTATATTACGTACTAGATCACATCTACTGCAAAAAATATCCGTCAAAGAAACACATTAGAAATATAATTATTCATTGGATATTCCCACGACAGGTAGGATTATAGTTATTTTTATTTATTATGATTACTTTATCATAATTAAGCTTCTTTTATGACAAGTAAAACATTAATATATCGCTACCATATCGTTTAAGTAACATTTTGTTGACAAATAATTTAATATTATATTATGCTCTTTTAGGTGTATGGATCTGATCGCATCTGTCATCCATGCTAGCAGCAAGCAGATATAATATTCCGGAACCTATACGGACCATTACTTTACCCGATTATAAAAGAGCACCTGATTCACAAGTATATTGTTTTGGTCCTGGTTGCGACTCACCACAGCGACTGACCATTCCCACATGGCATCAGGTAAATTTTTTTATTATTTTTGACTTATTATTGTAAAAATAGTGAAACTAGTTTATGAGCTTTGTGCCTCTTATCCTTACTTATATTATAAACTAGAAATATTTGTTTGTTAGTTAAGCTAGTGTACAAACTCCGAAACTACAAGACTGATGTAAAAAATCCTTTTACTTAAGGGAAGCTACATTTTTCATCAGGATGATATAGGCTACTATTTACATGTGCGAAGGCATGGGAATACTGTACCTGTTGTTCAACATTTAATGTTAATTTATTTTTTAGTAGTAATGTACAAATGTACTGGAAAGGTGTTTTAAAATAGTTCTTTCTGTTAATAGGCCCAGACGTAAATGCGAGTCTACAGCCACTCCAAGCCGAAGAGTTTTTCTCGAGGGCGAGCACAAATTATGAGAATAGTTGTGTTTGACTGCAAGCACACAGGAGAGGCCGTGGAAGATTTAACGATAAGGACATCACGTGACCAACTTATATAAATGTAGCTGCTTTTTTGACCATCAAATGCCAGCCTCCAGCTGAAGACAAACTATGAGCAGTGTAACTTATTTATTAAGTGATTATGTAAAGCCCATTCTTATCAATAAGTGTATTTAGAAGTACTGTCTTTTGCTTGTAGAATTGTATTGTCAAATTAAAGGTAAATATGTGTAAATCTACAATTTCTTTATTTAACTATCTCTGCTTCTTATTTCTAACATAAAAAATTTATATGATGATAAAGTAATTAAAGTATTTTACAAAATATAAGTTTTTCTTTACACCGTTTATGGAATACTACACATGCTTATATATATACAATATTAAACTTTCCCGTGAAAATATTATAATAGTTACTTTCCTTAAGATATGAAATATTGAAAAATAACGATTTTTATAACTGTAGACAATGTCCACTCAAAGCCAAAGTGCCCATACAAACTGAACAATTCCCTTTCTTTTTATTTCAGAAATTACAAAAGTCAAAAAAGCTATTTTTTTCCGTTTAAGCGTGCGTTACAAAGTTGGCAACACCCTACATTGGTTTTCGCGGGCTTCGGGATTTCACCGTTTAAGTCATTTACGGGGTAATACCACAATAATCAATGTACATACGATTAAAATTCGCACAGTTTGATTTTCTTTTGTAAGAAATTTTTATATGGGGCCCCGCCAAGGCACGCTACACCACTCTCTAAATGCGATTCTCCCGACCGATAGGAACTGCAGCATAAATTTTGACAATGACACATACACAATCGACTGCGTTGGGATATTTTAAAGGAATTGGTAAATGTCCTTAGCGATAGCAGTAAGTGTTAAGTAATAAGGTAATTTAGTACAAAAACAAATTAGATTATTATATTCACTAATAGCAGAGCGGCAAGATATTGTTTTTTTCATCAATCAATTTTCAAAAGTATAAATAATAATACATTTAGTGTAGCTTTCTTAGTTTATATACGTAATAAAATAATGGTATTTATAGCATCGGAATTCAGAATCGATACCACAGGTTATAAAGTCGATACTTTTGAATCTAGCGTTTTCTACTCACTAGTCACTACCCTAAATTAAGGGAAATTGCAGGGAAAAATAATACATACAGTGGGAAATTGTTTTGTCAAAAGTTAAAATAAAAGTTATAGCTTTTTTTCATTAGGAATCAAATTACCTATCAATAGATTACTTCAGTATAATTAAAATAATCTTAGTTAGGTTTAAGCTAACCTGTATTCTTAGTTATATTTTGATTAAAAATTGTTGCTCAGGTTAGTATTTTCCCATGTTTAATTACTGATTGCAAGCATAATTTGTCGATTACTACTATTTTTATACCGTGATATTATTTCATAGGTTTTTGTCAGAGATGTGGAGTGGATTCCAATTGTGTCGTTGTAAACAACCTCTGAAAGCTGCACAAAACAAACTTTTGGCTTGTGGCACAAGATATGGCTTAAACTCTTCAAACTTACTTACTAGACAACTCTATACACCATTAAGAAATGGACACAGTAACAAACTACAATCTAGGGTCAGTACCTATTTTATATTTCAAAATAAAAAGATTCTCTACTTACATTGAGTAATAAAAATAAGTTGACAATTATGTCCAATGAATCTGTTTTGAAAAATATTGAATGATAAGAATTATATTACTTAATAAACACTTTTCTCCACAGATAAGTGAGCTGCTAAAATCAAATAAGATTTTTGTAAGGTTGAATTCATCCACACAAAAGCCAGCATCTTCTAAAATGGTAGGCTACTGGCTGCTGGGTTGCAGCGGCATGGTGTTCACAGCAGTTGTCCTAGGTATGGTGGCTGGTTATCTTGTCTTACTTTATAGCATCTACTTTGTTATTAAAGTTGCATTGAAAACTACTAATGGCAGCAAGTAGAATGTTTTAGTGAAAAAAGTAGGAAATATTAGTACATCATAATTTGAATCTTAAATAGGTGGATATATAAAGTATGTGTAAAGTTGAGAAGAGTGCGATTTTATAAACTGTCAATGACTAAAACAACTTTGATGAGAGAAATTGTTCTCAATTTTTTTAGGGTTACAAAGTGTGATGTTTTGTATGTATCTGATATAAGTAGAAATTTGGATATACATATATGTTGATTTTTTTAATATAATAATATGACTGAGGAATTTTTTTTTCTTTTAGATTCCCTAGTTACTTTAAAATTAATTGAAATCATTTATTTTGCAAAATCATAGAATTGATACATAATTCATGTGAAACAAAATAAATAATTTTAAAGAATCATTTATAAATGATTTCATAGAATATGAGTAAATTCTAAAAATTTAATTATATAATAATTGTGATATTTATAACAAAAAAATTATATACTTAAGCTTTGTTTTTTAATTTAATTGTTAAAATAGATGAATTAATTAATTACTAACATATGTATGTTGTACATTTAACACTTACTTAAAACTACTACTCTATTATTAAGAATGTTGATGTCCTGCATGGTATTATTAGTATAACATAAAAAAAATATCTGATAATATATCTTTTCCTTTCTTTATATCAGATATATATCAATAATCAGAGTTTCAGATTATTTATTATAAAACACATTATTTCAAAATTAATTCCGTTAACCAATAACTTGACATAATGTGAAGCGCTCAATATTGACCTGACATTTTAATATATTACATTTTAATTATTCAATATAATAATAGAACCTCATCCAAAGAGCTCTTGAAACTGTGATGTATAATAAAGTTACCTATAAACATATATATAATGATTTGTAACATAATTATTACAACAATTGTATCTTTGAATTATTGATTTAAATCATACTATTTGGTTTAATTTAATAATAAATAACAATTATTAAGTTTTTGTATACACTCATGAAATTGAGTATTATTTTTACTTTTAAGTCTCTTCTTACTATTGCAGCTATCTATTTATTGTAAAGAAAGAATTAAATGTAGATTACAAATAATTGCTTATTTTTTGTTTTATTTCAAATTTATTGAATTATAAATTTAAATACAATCACAGCTTATTGCATCATTAGTGTTTGTTATTATTTCATAATAGTAATATAGAAGGATGCACATATTCATAAATTTTTGTTAATGACAAGGATTTTATTTTAAGAGTTTCGTATATAATGATGTATCAGGTGGAGTGACGAGACTCACAGAGTCTGGTCTGTCGATGGTGACATGGAAACTGCTCGGAGAAAAACTACCCAGAACTGAAGAGCAGTGGCAGGAGGAATTCGAAAAATATAAACAGTATCCAGAGTTTAAATAGTGAGTGAATCAATATCCAATATTATCAAAATACAAGAAATTAATATTATAAAAAAATGATAGTCTGCCATTCTATGTACATCCGCCTGAACTTCAGGCTACTGCAATATGTGAATTTTCTGCAGGTGATTTCGAAATTAACTTCGACATATAAAAGGTACATTTAGCAATTTAACAAAACAAAAGTATAGACTACTCGAACACCTACAAACTCACCGACGACATTTTTGAATCATTTAATTTTCACCACCACTCGAGTTCCATCAGTTCACACACAGCACAGCACTAGGAGTTTAACCGAGCTCCGGAACCGCGACGTCGTCTAATATATACTTCCGCGTACTAATATATACGTTACGTCGTTCGGTCGGGCAGCAAGAACCACAGCATGAGCCTGTCGGAGTTCAAGTGGATCTGGTGGATGGAGTACGCGCACCGCACGTGGGGGCGCGCCATCGGCCTCTGCGTGCTCGGGCCCGCCGCCGCGCTGGCACTGGCCGGCCGTCTGCCCGCCGCCATGCGCCCGCGCGTGGCGGTCTACTGCGCACTGGTGGCCGCGCAGGTAACTATGTAGCGATACTGCCAGTGGCCGGCCGCCTGCCCGCCGCCATGCGCCCGCGCGTGGCCGTCTACTGCGCACTGGTGGCCGCGCAGGTAACTATGTAGCGATACTGCCAGTGGCCGGCCGCCTGCCCGCCGCCATGCGCCCGCGCGTGGCCGTCTACTGCGCACTGGTGGCCGCGCAGGTAACTATGTAGCGATACTGCCAGTGGCCGGCCGCCTGCCCGCCGCCATGCGCCCGCGCGTGGCCGTCTACTGCGCACTGGTGGCCGCGCAGGTAACTATGTAGCGATACTGCCAGTGGCCGGCCGCCTGCCCGCCGCCATGCGCCCGCGCGTGGCCGTCTACTGCGCACTGGTGGCCGCGCAGGTAACTATGTAGCGATACTGCCAGTGGCCGGCCGCCTGCCCGCCGCCATGCGCCCGCGCGTGGCCGTCTACTGCGCACTGGTGGCCGCGCAGGTAACTATGTAGCGATACTGCCAGTGGCCGGCCGCCTGCCCGCCGCCATGCGCCCGCGCGTGGCGGTCTACTGCGCACTGGTGGCCGCGCAGGTAACTATGTAGCGATACTGCCAGTGGCCGGCCGCCTGCCCGCCGCCATGCGCCCGCGCGTGGCCGTCTACTGCGCACTGGTGGCCGCGCAGGTAACTATGTAGCGATACTAAAATAAGCCGATCACGGAGTTCCACAACTTATTGAGATCACCGCCTTGTTTTTGATAAATAGTAAAAAAATATATACTCACTCGAGAGGAGAGATTCCCTCTTTTAGCATTGGACGAGGTAATGTCGAGCGTCCGGTAGTATAACATATGGTTATACGTATAGACAGAATCGGACGGATTACTTTATATTTGCAATAATGAATTATTGCTATGAATCCATCACTCGAAACTAGTGAGATCTTGACTTTAAATTAACAATTTGTTAGGCACTAGGTAGCTGTGCCTGCGACTTTATCTGAGTGGGAAAATATATTAGGAGAATTCTTTCTTTCCTATGGCTGGAATCGAATCGAATAGGATCACTGGGCAATAACCCACTACGCGGGCACGATGCAAATCGCTAGATGTTTAGGACTACTGATGCAGCCGGGACCAACGGCTAAGGTGTTCGTTTGAAAATTTGACGTTTGGTTTTGAAGTTATGGCTAAATTAAAATATTACGATTTCTGGTGCACGGCCCGTTGCGAAGTGGACGTCACCAAGGCGGGGGTGCGCGGGCGGGAGGGGAGTTTAGATCTATGAGTGAGGTACCAGCGGACCACGCGGGTGAAGCCGCTGACGGAAAGCTAGTTGCCAATAAAAGTCTTAGGGTCGGTACATTTCTGACGGAAGATACGTGGCGTCTTATTCGTCATACGACGACAGATATCTAAAGAAATAAATGATATTAAATTCGATGGAAATCGTGTATTAACATAGGTATAGTTCCGTCAGGCGCTTGACAGCTCCGTCCGCCAGATTCGCTCTGACCCTCAGACTCACGAAATATTCCATGAGGCTCGGGACCGGTGAGTAAACCTGTGTCTCCGGTGAAGACTGAATATACCAACTATACGACCTTAAGAATCTCACCAATTTAGCAGTTTTTCAGTGAGAGAGCTTGACCTTTTTTCGAGGTTTGAAATGCTTCTGGTACTGTCTCTCTTACCTGCAAGCAACAGGAGGTGAGTAGGACTCTTCTCCGTAAACCCACCCGGCTGTGAGTTGCTCAGGGGGTCCCTGGAGGTGCCGGTGGATTGTGGTAAACTCCGGTCAAAGATCTACTTTATAGCATTGTCAATAGAAATTGACCAAATAAAATAACAAAATAACTTCAGAATATTGTGATCATTTTTAATAAGTCCTATAATTAAATAAGTTGCATGAATTTCGCAGCGTGCCGTATGGCATGCGCTAAAACTATCATAAGTAAAGCGGTCGGATGTTCGTTGCACTCGCTCGCCCACAGCTTGCAGAAGTAAGCTATATACATCCGTCTCTGTCTGGCGCCGGTGATGCTGCGCAGCATTTTGGTGCGGTTCTTGACGAAGTTGTCGTGCTCCACGACGCAGCCGTGCGCGTTGATCCAGCTGGCCGCCTTGTAGAACCAGCTCTTTCTGTGGAACTCCTCGTAGCCTAACATTGCACACAGCGACACTGAAATAACAGAGGAGTGTTCTGTTATATGAAAACGTTAACAGAAACAGAATATATCAAATCTCTCAACAAATCAAAGGGAGAATGAAATTAGATCTTTAATTATACGAGCTGTTTTCCCAAGACTTGATTTTAATTGTAGCTTATCGTAGGAGAAAGAATTTTCATAATCGGATCGGAGGTTCCGAAGATTACCCTCTACAAAAGTTAGAAATTATACCTCTTTATAATATCACTATAAATATTTTAATAAAAAAAACAACAGCATTTCGTCACACTCTATACAGGGTTAGTTCCAAAAACATAGGATTAAATAAAATATAAAATCAACGCTTCTTTTACGACTTTCGATAATTCTTTACATTCATATGAGAAATAATTTTTAATTAAATTTACCGCTCGTAATAATAACCATTAACCGTTAGTAGTATTATTAATAATAACACGCCTCACAATGTTCCAAGAACAAGTCCCTGGCGAAGTACCCGCGCCGCGCGATGTACACGCTCTCCCTGTACATGGCGGCGCACAACCGCCCCGCCAGTTGCGCGTCCTCCGCCACGGACCGCATGTAGCATCGCCTCGAGTGTCGGAAATAAACATTCACCAATCTGCAACGTCACAAACGATCCACAACATATTATATCACTCACTGAATAGTACAGAGGCACAACTCAAAAACCATTATTTCGAGAAAACGCCACAACATTGTGGTGGCATCCCATAGATAATTTAAAGAAACAATAAAAAACTTAACAGTAATAATATATTACAAACGATTTAACTGTTATGCCAAAAAAAAAATATTTTCATAATTATAAATATACTGGGAGGAACAAAATGACCGACACAGCCGAAAGTTTCAAGTTAGGTTACATGCAAACGTTCATTTTATTTGACAAATATTTAAAAATAGAGGATGTGTAAAAATGGAGTAAAAATTTTAAATTTCTAAGTGTTAACAGCCCTATAACGCACATGCGCAATATCGATTGTGTGCAGATTACAACGAACCGCGAAATACATTAATTTAATTTCTTAATGGTAGTCGATGCTGAAAATGTCCACTTCCTCTCTGAAGACTGAGCTGAGCACGCTCTTTTCAATGCCGGTGCATGCACGCGCAAAACACATCACATTTCACACAAAACTAAACACAATCTTCACTTAACTAAACAAAACACTCAAGACGAACACTCTAGTATCTTATTTACAAAAATTCAATTAAAAATTTACTAGAACAAAACAAAAATCGACAAAAAAGACGCTTCGCAGCGGTGCGTCGGCGGCGATGCGCAACAACACTCCAGCGCAAAAGGTCGACGGCGACTGATCGACCGGAAAATATCGACAGAATAATGAAGCCGCCTGGCGGCTGGCGGGCGGGAGGGGCTTTGATATCGAGGGACGAACTCGGTTCACATTTTATTTTCGTCTTTTGATATCACGCATTTTTTAATGTTCTTTTTAAATGCTATTTTAATAACAAATTCCTCAATGTTTTTAAAACAAAGTTCATTTGTGTAAATGACGAATCGCTGGAAGATTTGTGAGTTTATCGAGTTTAATTAACGATCCCGTTGTTAAAGGAGTATTACACCATTCAAACAATTTTATTGGAGAATTGCTCTTTTAAAATAACGTAGGTTAATGTTAGACTAATCTCTCTACAATGATTTGGGAAATTTTACACTCGGTTTCTTAATTGAGAATTTAAAATTAAACGTCCCAAACTAACATCACTTAGTTTTAGTTTCCGATTTTAGTTTTTTGATGATCAGTTGATAGCAGTTTGATAAAAGTAGGACTATTTGAATTGTGAAATTAAAAAAACTTAGGTTTTTGAGAATAAGCAGTAGAAATTTTCTACTTTTTTCAAATCAGAAACCGGCTGTTAGTCTGTAAATCGATTTAAGCATTTTGACTGCCTTGTTTATTGATTGTCTGGTAGAATTTGCATAAAAGCAGTCTTATAAATCACAAACTAGTTTATTTCGTTTTTAGAAATGAAGAAGTCAATGACCGATTTAAAACTTTTCGTTAGTACGTCCCAAAAACAGGTGACTCAGGGTTGAAAACACTCATTTTTTTTTCAAAAACTTTGTAATAATAATATCTCCGAAACTATTTGACCTAGACTTATAATTTTTTTACATCATATTAAAGACAAATAGTACTCTCAAGGAACTTCGGGAGTGTCGGTCGTTCTGTTCCACCGAGTATTAAATTTTTCATAACTTCGGAGAACGTTTCTCGAAATATGGTTATTGAGTTGTGCCACAGTAGTAGTCAGTGAGCGATATATAAACAAGTAAATTACTTTTGTTATTGTGCTGTCAATGTGCCCGCTGGTGGGACACACACAGTGATAACCCCTGATTCTGTCGTTATGTGTTTATTAACAATGTGTCAGTAACACTAAACGTGACAAGAATTACTGTTCTTGTTTAAACTATTCGTGTTACATTCGTTTAAAAATAAAAAAAATCCATATACTGAATAACACGAGTTATTCTTCGCCATCTTACGAAAAAGCAGTAGTATGTGTAGTTTAATTTTTTTAATAATAAATTTAAGAAATATTACATCCGGGTGAGCTCGTACCTGTGGCTCAAATAATATCCCAAAGAAGGGTTGGAGTATATCCGTTTCTCACAGTATAAATCGTGTTTGCATTTTCTCATTTTTTTTATATGTATCGGTTCACCGTTGTACGATATAACAGACATACAGTGATCTGAAATAAAACATGAAAATTTTTGTTTCAATATATAATCTATAATATATAAAGCTCAATTACCACTGACTGACTCACTCACTCACTCCATGCTTTTTTCGGGTAGAAAGAGGAGGAAAATGACGTTTTCGTGTATGGAGACTGATAATATTTTTTTAAAATGAGTTGAAATGGTATTGCTGTGCAGCCAAAAAACAAAATGGCGGCGAGATAATTTTTTTAATTTCTACATTATACACTCTACGATTACGATATTCAAAATAGTCGTAGATGTAGCTAAAAAAATGATGCTGAAATAGGGTTTGATTAAAAAAACAAAATGGCGGCCGAGATATTTCACCTGGAAATTTGGCATTTTTCGACCTCTGTTCGGGCGATCGTCAATTCTTTTGTGGTGGGTTTGCAGGGGGTATTTTTACGCTGGCGACTCGGAAATATAGTCGATTTTCACGTACGGGGAGTTTTCGCTTGCGTGTCAATATGGCGGCGGCGGTGGCGGCCATTTTGTTTCGGCATTGAAAAATCGCCATTTTCCAGTGAGATTTTCTCCAAGATGGCGGCGTCGGACGGGTTCACGTTGTATGGGCCGGTCGTGGGGCTCGGTGGGTTCTTTCTACTTCACTACCGATTTCTACCATTTTCGTGGTAGTTTAGGAGATTTTGGGAGAAAAGTGAAATTTAGAAATACGCACTTTTCGCGGAAAACAGGCTCGATGCGTTGTGGTGCCGAGTGAGCCCTATGACTTTTGGTAGTTTTTGTTTCCGTGAGCTGACAACCCTGGGCTCCACGGTAGAAAACGTGTTTTTCGACATGCCCTCATAACCCGAATTGTTTGGGAACCTGGGTGGCCAGCGGAGAAAATCTGTGAATGAGGTGACGCGCCAAATATAGTCGTGACTATGGGAAAATTATGAAACTCGGGAAAATCAATATGGCGGCGCCGGCAGCGGCCATTTTGTGATTTTTTCACTTTTTCGAAAAATTCAAACACACTTTTAGCACACATGGCAACATCGGAGCTCTTCGCCTGGTATGGACCGGTCGTGAGTCTCCGCTGGCTCTTTCGAATGACGTGAAATTTTTCCCCGATTTTAGGGTAATTTCGGAGATTTACCCCAAAAAGGTGAATTGTAGAAGGAACCGTTTAAGAATTTCAAAAATGCTTTTGCTCGATGAAGGGTACTCTCCGAAATGACATTTGACCATTTTCATCGTTGTCACCTGGCAACCCCGGTGGTTGCGGCGATTTAAAAATTTTTGCCCATTTTTTACTTTGTCGACTCTAGCGCGGTTAGTATTGCCACTAGGAAAATGGTAAAAACTGCATCGGATGCGCTATCGAGTTGGCCACACCGGTACGGAGCCGGATTTTCAAAATTCAAGATGGTGGCCAAACCAGCGGCCATTTTATCCAAAAAATTGGGTATCGTCACCACGTCGAGCCGATTTTGACGCACTTGGCGACATTTGTCACAGTACTTCCGGGGAAACATTTTTTAGGCAAGTAACTAAAGTGTTGCCAGGTGAAAAAAAACTCGAAAATTTTTGATACTTTATGTGATTTTTGAGGAAACAATTTTTGTCGAATTTTTTAACATTTTTGATGAAAATATTTTAATTTTAACTTTTCAAGATACCCGATGGAAAAAATAGAACGATCGACTGGCAACACTGAGAGCAAATGACGTTTGAAATTCAACCTTGATTTTGACCGACTTGGCAACCCCGCAGGTATTTGGCATGTATGGAGCGATTGTGTATCTCTATAGACTCTTTCATATGGTGGAAAAAAATTACCCGATTTTAGGGTAGTTTTTGAGATTTACCCCAAAGACTGTAAATGTCAAAGGAACAATTTTACAAATTGAAAATTGGTATCCGTCGATGGAGGGCGCATCACGAAATCACATTTGACTATTTTCATTGCCTACGCCTGGCAACCCTGGCAGCTACGGTGGTATGAAGATTTAATGTCCACTATTCACGTTTTGGACTCTAGCGCAGTCACTATAGCCGCTAGGAAAATAATAAAAACTGCGTTGGATGCGCCAATAGATGGGCTATATAGTTCTGAGGTTGAAATTTCAAAATTCAAGATGGCGGCTTAAACTGTGGCCATTTTATCTACAAAATTGATCATTTTTCACGACTTTTACTTTATAGAACTGATTTTTGCGCATATGATAACATTTTTCAGATTACTTAAAAAAAACATAAGCTGAAGTGTTGCCAGATGAAAAAAAACTGAAAATTTTTTGATACCGAGGTTTTTGAGAAACTTTCATGTATGTCATTTATGAAAAATATGAAAACATTTCTTTACAATGATTTTACGGTTTAACAAAAATTTTACTGTTGCATTTATAACATAATTGTTGGAATAATTTGAATGATCGACTAGCAACACTGATAGTAGTCACCATATAAATTTCAGGATGATTCTGACCGAGTTGGCGACTCGGGAACTTTATAGCATATATAGACCGTTTGTGTATCTTTACCCAATCTTTACGTGGTGAGAAAAAATTCCACTATTTTAGCCAGAAAAATAAAGCGAGCGAGACATTGTCATTCGGTTAGATTAGAACTGTGACTAAAACAAAAAGCGAGCGAAGCCAGCTAGAAAGGGTGACCATTTAGAGAGATTTGATTAATTGGTAAGGTTAGAACTGTGACTAAAATAAAATGCGAGCGAAGCGAGCCCTAAAGAACACCATCAATAGAAATCTGATCAATCAGTTAGATTAGAACTGTGAATAAAACAAAAGGCGAGCGAAGCGAGCCATAATAAGTGGAGACCTGGTCAATCGTTTAAGGGACTGTGACCAAAATAAAGAGTGAGCAAAGCGAGCCAAAATGCGAGATCATTAAAAGAGACCTGATCAATCGGTTATGTTAGCACTGTGACTAAAACAAAATGCGAGCGAAGCGAGCCATAAAGAGTAACCATTAAGAGAGATTTGGTTAATTGGTAAGGTTAGAACTGTAAATAAAATAAAATGCGAGCGAAGCGAGCCTTAAAGAACACCATCAATAGAGGCCTGATCAATCAGTTAGATTAGAACTGTCAATAAAACAAAAAGCGAGCGAAGCGAGCCATAAGGAGTAACTGTTAAGAGATATTTGGTTAATTGGTAGGGTTAGAACTGTGACTTAAATAAAATGCGAGCGAAGCGAGCCATAAAGGACACCATCAATAGAGACCTGGTCAATTGGTTAGATTAAAACTGCGAAAAAACAAAAAGTAAAAGCGAGCGAAGCGAGCCATAAGGAGTAACTGTTAAGAGATATTTGGTTAATTGGTAGGGTTAGAACTGTGACTTAAATAAAATGCGAGCGAAGCGAGCCATAAGGACACCATCAATAGAGACCTGGTCAATTGGTTAGATTAGAACTGCGAAAAAACAAAAAGTAAAAGCGAGCGAAGCGAGCCATAATAAATGGAGACCTGGTCAATCGGTTTAGGAACTGTGACCAAATTCACATATAAGTGTGCTATTTAGGTCTGAATCAAAAATTTTAAAATTCAAGATGGCGGCTAAGACAGCTTCCAATTTATCTAGAAAATGTATTATTTTGGCGTTATTGATAAAATTTTTCAGATTACTTACAGAAAAAAAAATTTAGTCAGTTGAAGGATGATAAAAATTTTTTTTTTTTTGATACTGTGATTTTAAGGAAATTTTCTATTGAATAAGAATACTTTATACTTTTAGGCGATGTATACAACATTTATTTTAAGTTTTCTTACGTTTTTCAACTGAATATTTCTTTTTATATTGCGTGTAAACTGGCAATCTTTTTTTTTATGTATGATGTTTTGCGTAATTAAAGATCTTTTATTTGAAGATAGAACTTACTAACTTTTTCTAGGCAATTTCAAACTGTAAACATAACAAGAGGCGGACTTAAAACCCCACCGCTCCGATCCCACAAGCTACTCGTTTATGCTCAAGAACTTTACAATAAGTAATGTAACAAAAACTTCTATAGGTTTATTATGACATATGGGTTAGGTTAGGTTAGTGTATGAAAAACAGCGCACGAGCCGAGCGAGCGTAGCGAGCGTGCCGCGGCAGCGGCCGGCGAAGTGCCAGAAACGAATCGCTTTTTTTGATGGTAACATTTGGTTTATAATGTTTGACTTGACAATTCGGGATCTTTATAGCGTGTATATATGGACCATTTGTGTAGGTATCTTACCCACACTTTCACATAGGTAAGTATGGAGAAAAAAAAATCAAATTTTTGATACCAACGATATTTAATGCGTAAAATATATTTTTCTATACTTTTAGATTATTGAGAAAACATGTTCTTTTGATATTCAAAATGAAAGTGTTCTACGTAGGTATGAGTTTGAAATTTGACATTTCTTTATTTGGTGTATTATTTAAGGTAACACTGGGCGAAATATCTACTCGATCCTTTTTTATACTAAATATAAACTTACTATTGAATAAGAATAAGAGACTATAATTTATTTAGAGTTTTGCTTGCATTTTTTGACTGAATATTTCTTTTTCTACTAAGCGTAAACTGGCAACCCTTTTTATTTGATGTATGGTGCTTAAACACCTTTCATTTGAAGATAGAACTTACTAACTTTTTGTAGAATTTCATACTGTAAACCCAACATGATAAAAAAACGAAAAATATTAAAATCCGCTTCCGAGGCGGACTTAAAACCCCACCGCTCCGATTCCACCAGCTACTCGTTACCTCCCCGGGCTGCTCGCAGCCCGGGGCAACCAAGCGAAAGCTAGTCTTATATATAAAAATGAATCGCAAAATGTGTTGGTAAGCGCATAACTCAACAACGCCTCGACCAATTTGGCCAAATCTTTTTTTAAAATGTTCGTTGAAGTTCAAGGATGGTTTTTACGGCGAGAAAAAAGTTTTTCCAGCAATAGAATTATTGCTGGAAAAACCCTAAAAATAGCCCTTTTCTTTTTCCCATACAAATGATTTGTAACTAAAACGTAGTCAATTTGAGCTTTATTGCTATGGTATAAAGTTCATATTAAATTACAAGCACTCACTGTTGTCTAAGCAATGTAGGCTTTTTGACAGGACGAAGTCTGTCGGGTCAGCTAGTACTTTAATATACATATAGATCATATTTACGTGTACGCGTTATTCTCACCTCGTATTTTTCTCCATTTCACAATTTTCGACTTTAATACTATAGAGCAAAGACTACACCAGGGGAATAGGTGCTTGAAGTATTGCGTAAAATTGAGAAAACCAATTTAAATGCTATTAGTTTGTGTATACCCTATAGGTGTATATACAATCCCGATAAATTAGCAGCGTTTGGTTTCGTCGCAGTTTGATTTGCAAGAATATTTTTTCCTTTCACTAATACAAGATAAATAATAGTTAGAATGCCATACCCGATGCGAACATGTCTATATGATACTGCTCGTCTGTGTTTTCATCCACAAGCTCGACATATTTCTCCTTGGGCAGTGTTGCCATGTCCATTTCCTGTAAATATCTGTTCATATTATTGTGTTTTGTGAGGATCCATTGCCTGAGTCGGCCTCTGTTGAAATCCCCAATGGAATATATCTGAGTTTCGTCGGATACAAACAACTTTGATACTGAAAGAGTCACATTGTACATTATCACATAATGAAACGTGTTCAGTATTATGTCTAGCTATTGTGAGCAAGAAACATTAGAATTACAATTTTGCGATATGTTCAATAAGTATTTAACTAACTATTTTTGTACGATTAATACGAAACTGTCAACTGGCGTTTTATCGCCCTCCATAGGGTTCCAAATTCGATTTCCGGTCAAGAGCACGATATTTCTCTTTAACAGTATTCGAAACATGAAATTATTTCTGGTGTGAACATTTGTGATCATTTCGTTCTTTCCGATCTGCCCCTCGGTCTAATTAATTTGGAATATGAAATATAGGCAGTATGAATCTTAACGTCTATAATTATTTATTATTTATTAATAGAGTTTATACCCACTTCTGTATTCCATGTCGTCCCAGTCGTACTGGCCGTTGATGTATATATAGTGGGACAGAATATCCTCGCACATGAATATGAGTTTTTTCAAACTTCCTATTTGGTCGTTCCGTAATTTAGCCCCGTGGTCCACGATAGCTCGCTTCAAAAGTGCTACAACTTATTATAATAAGTAAAGACGTCCCAAATCAAAGTTTAAAATAAATATAAATTAAAGCTTACATACGCCTGCATCTTACATTTGGCATAATATGCACCGAACGCTGTGTTGACATCGGTGTCATTGAGCGGTTGTTTCAAAAAATACTTCAGCGGAAGATGCAGCAGTTTGATATAATAGTCTACATCTGCAGATGTGACGATGCTCTCTTCCGGCGACAGATATTTGATCGGAAACGCCTCTCCCCCGTACTGCCGCCACGTGGCATTCGAAATACATGATATTCCTGACAAAACTGATAATAACACTGAAAAAGCCAAACGGCAGTTCATTTTATTTATGCGCTCATAATTCAGACGTTCACGGAGCGAGCCTCTCACGGCACCACCACCGTGGCGAAAGAGCGATCAAATTCTATGCGGTTTTAATTATTTTTTAATTAAGGGCAGGTTGCAGTGCGACGCTCGACCGATTTACATCAATTTTATAGGGAGGAAGCGTGAAATTCGATTACGCTAAGAAAAACATTTTTTAAACATACTTAACAATCCATTTTCTAAAAGAAAGTTTTGCTATCTATCTAAATAGAGATTTTAGTTTCAACTTTAATGATTTTATCCTGTCGATAATTAAGGCGCTATTATATGCGAGTAAAATTGCAAGAGCTCCGCATTTCATTGAACGCACTGTATAGATTTTACCGTCGCCCTGAACCAGGCCTAAGATTACTAAACTTACTATATTACATCTTCCATTACATGTGACTGCGGAATAACGTTAAAATAAAACTCAAATCGAACATAGTCCAGCGAGCGGGACAATAGCGATTATGTGTATATATACCGGACACGGTTTCCGCACGGCTGGGATAGGTCAGTGCAAAAAGCACCGCGTGTTCTTAGATGGAAATTGAGTAAATATTGAATAAACAGGGTCTGATGGGGTGGTACATGGTGAAGTCGGGGCTAGAGGACCGGTTCGAGGGCCCGGCGGACGTGCCGCGCGTGTCGCAGTACCGGCTGGCGGCGCACCTGAGCCTGGCGCTGCTGCTGTACGCGGGGCTGCTGGCGGGCGCGCTGCGGCTGCTGCGCCCCCCTCCCGCCCCCGCCGCCCTCGCCGCCCCCACACCCGCGCTGCCCCGCGGCCTGCGCTCCATCTTCGCACTGGCGCACGCCGTCAAGGCTATGGTGTTCTTCACGGCGGTGTCCGGTGAGCCGATTTCCATTTGAGGGGCGGAAGAGTAGCTAGTAGCAATTTCAGGGACATCCGCACCTACGCAGTCTTTCCTAAAGAAAAACCTTTAGAATGTAAAGGGCAACCGGGAAGACAAAATTTGAATATCGAACTCTCCTGAACGAGGGTGAATTATCAGAATACTCCCGACCTGGGTAATTCGATCGCCTCCAATTCAGCCTTGCTGTTGTGATATGATTGGCTGGCGCTTACAGCGAGTGGGCGGAGTCCGGCTCGCTTTTGTCTTTAATAACCAGGAACGAACTCAGTTCACTTTTTTTTCGAATTCGTATTTTGTTATCACACAAATGTATTTGAATTTTCTTTTTAAATAATAAATTATCCCGTAATTTAAGAAGAACTCTGCTTATTTTAAATAATGTAGTTTTATATACTGTAACTCAATTAACGTTAGAATAATCTTTTTAATTCATAATGTTAGTTAATTAATTAATATCAGCATTTTGACAAATTCGTTTTTGTCAGTGATTATTATTTAGAAATTGTTAAGAAGCCGTTAAATTTATCACAATAGTGGTTTATTTCGTTTTTATAAGTTATAAAGTCAATGGCCTTTTAAAACTTGTTCCTTAGAACGTCCCAAAAACAGCTGACTAGGGTTGAACACTCATTTTTTTCCAAAGCTTTGTAATATCTCAGAAACTATTTAACCTATTCATATAATTTTTTATTTTATTTAGACATAAAATTTGCGAAATATTTCGTCCTTGTCTACTTAAAACTAATATTCGAATTCTTTCTTCTCTTGTTAAATTGCGCGTCATTATTTTTTATTTATACGTCAATATAATAACACAACATAGGATCGGTCCAGTTTAAAAAGCAGAGGTTCAGTAGAGGAAAGAATCGAAGTCAAATAAACAAAGTCGAGGTTTCTTGGAAGCAAGAGTCAGGAATCTGGGTACCATAAACAGTATAAAGATTAACAAATTCGCAATTAGATGCGTTGACAACGGGCGAAAAGTAGACTCATAGATAATACAAAATACTGGTGTAACTAAAAACAAACAAAAACAGTGTTCATTCAAGCAAGTGTGGATTGTCATTGATAGTAGTTCGCGAGTGGGCGGGGCGTAGTAAACACTGCAAGAGACATTTTCATGCAAATATTGATGCCAACTGGAAGAGCGCAAACGTCCGCGATAGCACATTTTGAACGCTAGTCAATTATGACTATTATAATATTTTTAATTCAGAACGAGTAATATTACCTTTTTGTAGTTAAATCGAACCCCCTTTGCAATTATTTTAATTTTTTCTTCAAACGACAACGAAAACGCATTCGTATTTAATTTATCAGAAAGAGCAGCTCACAGCTGTATTTTTCCATCGCGGTAAATAAATTTACAACTTAATCATCTGCGTTCAGAAAAGGAATCAAAACAGAATGGCGAAAAAAATCTTTAGGATAGGATATGCAGTGCTCATTTGCACGTACGGGGTGCGCGTCATTGTCCGCAGGCGCGTTCGTGGCCGGGCTGGACGCGGGGCTGGTGTACAACTCGTTCCCCAAGATGGGTGACCGCTGGGTGCCCGAAGAGGTGCTGGCGCTGCGGCCGGCCGCCCGCAACCTGACGGAGAACCCCGCGACCACGCAGCTGCAGCACCGCGCGCTGGGCGTCGCCACACTCGCCGCCGCCACCGCCGCGGCCGCGCACGCCGTCACCCGCCGCGCGCCCCTCCCCCCCGCCGCCAGGAGACTCGCCGTCGCCGTCGGCGCCCTCGCCTGGCTCCAGGTCAGTCTCGTTCCCCCCCTCACTCGGATCAGTACTCAAATAGAAAAAAAGGGTAGAAGTCGCAAGTGGGCCTTCCCGTTTTCAGTAGCGTATTCGTCGAATGGCTTACGCCCTGTGAGACTGCTCAGATGTGGTACGTGATACGCATGTGCGCCCATCGATTTTGATATTAGCTATTTAACCGCCACTTCGCCTACGTAATAAATATAGCCTATAAGCCGTAAGCTTTCCGTAGGTGAAAAAAATAATCGGTATTATCGAAGACTGTTTAATGCAAACAAACAATATTTTTTCAATAAGTTTCGAAATGACATAGGAATAGAAATACGGTGTCCACGAGATATCAACACTTTTTCCATGGCCAAAATTGCCGACGACATAATTTTCAAGTTGTATATTGAGGGAATTGCGAATAGTATGAGAGATAACATACGATTATTTTGGAGTTATTCCCGGTCGAAAAAAAATACGAACGATTTGCCGAATCAAATGTTTTACGGTTCTGATCACGCTTATAGTGGCAGTGACATAGCCAATCGATTTGCGAGACACTTTTCATCGGTAGATGGTAAACCATCCGCTAATACGTACATACCAGACTTTCCTGAGAATTGTCTCTGAAATCATTAGATGTTACAAAGGGTTCGGGTCCAGACAGTATTCCTCCTGTCTTTCTGAGAGTATGTGCCACGCCTTTGTTGAACCCTTGTATATTTTATTTAATAAAAGCATTAACGCTGGTTTTTTTCCGATATCTTGGAAGACAGCGGCGGTTGTTCCATACATAAAACCGGTGACAAATCAGACGTAATAATGACAGAACAATAAGTTTTTTTGTTATTTATCCAAAATTTTTGAAAGTTTAGTCACACTTAACTTTTCATCTCAAACAGCACATAAGTTAAAGACAAAATGGTTTTGTGAAAGGGCGTTCCGCTTCCCCTTATTTATTATTTTACATTCATTACTGAAACACAATTATTAACAATCAAATGCAAGTGGATTCCATGTATGTAGATTTTTACAAAGCATTCGATAGGGTAGATCATAGTATTCTTATACACAAGGCTTATCATCTTGGTATACATGACTCGCTTCTGCGCTGGTTGACTTCTTATCTGTCTGATCGAACTCAAATCGTTAGGATATATGGATATGAATCCACTCCATCTATTCCTGATTCATCTATTCCATCGATTCCTGAATCTGGTGTGCATCAGGAATCGAACTTGAGTCCTTTCATATTTGTTTTGTTCATGATTTACTCAACTCAATATCAAGTAACTGTCTTGCTTACACTGATGATTTAAAAATATACGGTGAGATGTGAGGAAAGGAAGACAATGCGATGCTGCAAAATTATATCAGTCGTTTGTACCAATGGTGTTTAAGTAACAATATGTCGTTAAATATAGCAAAGTGCTCTGTGATTTCGTTCACGAAAAAGAAGTATCATTACATAATACCTACACCATAGATGGCAAACCATTGACGAGACAAGACGTTGTTAGAATCTAGGGGTATTACTTGACGTCAAATTGACGTTCACCAATTATTTCGACCACATGGGATACTTATAGAATACTGGGATTTATGTTCAGAATAATAAGACCCTTCAGGAAACAAAGCAGCATATTAATACTCTTTTGCACTGGTCAGAAGCATACTTGAATACTGTTCGATAGTATGGTCCCCATTTTATAACATCCATATGACAGAATAAAGGCGGTCCAAAAACGGTTTATTCGATACTTAAGTGCTAAATTCGGTTTAAGACGTAGATTGGATACATATGAAGCTAGACTTGATCATTTCAAATTATCAACTCCGTATGGGACACTGATGATCTGTTGAGCCATTTTCCATTTAAAGGGGGTGGTAGGAAAAGGGTGCAAAATCTTTTCTCGTCATCCCTATTTGGTTACAGCGGTTTTCATACAAAACAACCAGCGTGCTACTTCTACTCTTCTTTTCTGTTCTGATATTCGGATAGTCATCAGAAACCAGGTCTGGTGCCAACCCTGAATGCGAAACATGTGCGTCTGTGTAACGATCTTTTTTGCAGTCGACTGCGAAACCGTCCTGATGAGGACGCAGCAATTAACGAGCTTATAATAAATAGAGCGAGACAACACACACGTGTAACATTGCCATACATCTGACAAGACATATTCGCGTGCGATTGCGTCGGTGTACTAACGGCGTACACCGGTATTCTTAACCGGTATACTAGATTTTGAATGAAACGGGAACTGTCGGTGGCTAATAATAATAGTATTCTTCCCATTAACCGGTTTTCCTCCTGAAATATGAAATTTTGCATCCGAGGATCAGTTTCTTGATGACACAAAAGGCCATGACACATACTTCGAAAATAAAATAGTTTAATTGGATCATATCGACAGTGTCGAATCGTCGTCGATGAGCGTTAACGATCGACATTTAAATTTTACATATACATATAATTTGTTTGTGTATTCGACGAACCAATTATGATACTAGATAGGCCATTCCTGGTCTATTTAGTAGTGTACAGATAATTACGTAAGAGAACATATACTCCAGCTACAACTTCAGCCGGAGAATACGACATCTCGGCGATGTTACGGCGATATTTCGATTCATTTTACTACTTTCACGTGTACTTTATTAACGACGAACGAATGACAAAGAACGGGGCCTACGAATTTGACAGCAGCGGGACCTATCCGGTCATTTATTCCAAATTTATCCACCAAAAAAACTCTAACGAAAATTTTGCTTCACCACTTAGTCGGCGTAATTAACGTGTGTACTCATGCCAAATTATATTTTTGATCTAAATTCGCGGACGGACACGGATAAACTATAAGGGTTCCTCGTTTACCACGGAAACTTAAAAACCCTGCTAAAGTAGGAAAATGAGACCAAATATCGGCATAACAACGCTGAGATGCCGCGGTAATGCTACGGTGAGTGAGTCGGGCGTGGTCGGGTGTGGGCAGGTGTCGCTGGGCGTGGGCACGCTGCTGTGCTACGTGCCCACGTGGCTGGCGGCCGCGCACCAGGCCAACTCGCTGGCGCTGCTCGGCGCCGCCGTGTGCCTCACGCACGAGGTCAAGCTGCTCAGGTACATACCCAAGTAGCCGCACACCACACTGCACCACACCACACCACACCACACCACCGCCTCCCTACACCCGTCTTGATGTAATCGGCGCTCTCGGGTGGCCGCAGCGGCGTATCCCCTTCCAAGATTAGTCATTGTTATAAAATTTGAACTTATTATCGACATTCTTAATGAAAAATGCTTAAAAAATCCACTCTGCCCTGAGGTTATCAGAGATGGAACTCGAACGCCCGATCTTGCTCTAACCGCAGAGATATCCAGGACCTCGCAGGCCTGACGAATCTTGCGAGCACTTTTTTCTTTTTCGTATTTCACCAACGTTACAATTCACCCAAAAAGCCGAAAGAAATATTATTACAAATATTTTAAACTTTCGATTGAGATGAAAATTTATTATAATCGTTATATTTTTAAGCATTTTTCATTAAGAATATTACCCAATATAGCAATGTGTATGCAAAATTAATCAAATATAATTACCATCGACATACAACGTCGATTGGAAAAATTTAATCTGTTACGGTACCTTATTACGCCGTCCCCTATGCTTCGCTTCCGAATTGCCCCAGAATAAATGAGACCATCACCGAAACGATAGATATATTATTGTGTATATGCTCGTTTTTGGAATACCAAAAGTATTCCATGAGAGTTTCCTTCCTGATTTCCTGTAGACCGAAGTCGCCTCCTCCCAGTCTCCTAGTTGACTCGACCTCACCTACCCTTAAATACTGTCACAAGATGTAATTTTGTTATAATCCTAACTGATACTGACGGTGTCGCGCTTATATCTCCTCTTCAACCGTTCTTTCCTCCTTCATGAGTATTATAGAATAAGTTTAAATAATGTTATATTTTTTTATGACAACACATTCAGTTCTTATAATATTGTATAAAGCTGTAGATTTTTTAGTTTTATTTAATCTACCGTCGGAACATATTATTTTTGCATTTATCTTTTGTGTATATTTATGTGAAACTGTGCATTAGTTGTAAACACATTCATATGTAGTACGTATACCGACTGATTTATTTGTTACTAATTAAGATGGTTAATGTATAATAAGAAAAATACAGATTAAAAGGTTATTCACAAAGTGATTTTATTTTGAAAATTTTAAAATGCTAATATTGCTTACACACTGAAAAACATTATTTACATAGTTTATGTGAAGCCTACGTGTCGACACGTGGCGGGTCGGGCCCCGCCCCGCCGCGGAGACGCGACCAGTGATGTTCCACTCAGACTGACACTTGTTTATATTATCTATATGTAAAACCCCAATATTGAAGGGAATTGTAAAATATAAAATAGTCATTGACTGTAGTACCATTAACACGAACAACCATCGAACTCATAACCAGCCAAATATCTGTATTACCACGTGAATGCAATAAATAATTTAATTGAATGGCGCTGTGCAAATACATATATCGATAGAAAAACATTTGCATACTTGCGTTCCATACAAATCGGATTCGAATTCAACAATTTTTTGTGTTGAAAGTACTGTAGATCGAAAAGCATCAAGTGAAATATTTGTGAAACAAATTAAAAAAAAATAAAATTACGATTAACTCGATTATAATTATTGGTTTGTACACGACGTCCGCCATTTTGAGTAAACAGCTGTTGCAGAAAGTCGCGTCTCCATAGCAACGACGGTGAGTGCACCATAAACATAAATATTAACATAACATCTGATATCTGCGTTGTCTCGTGCGTGATTCACATTTATATAGATATATAGTTGGACAAACAGATGCGTAAATAGTTTTGAAACATTACGTTCGAATACAATTTTTATTTTATTGAAATAGACTTTGCTTTCGCAAGTTGATCCAATTTAATTTTAAGCGAATGTTTCAATACTTTTTAATTTATACACTTAATCAAACAACATTAAGATTTAAAACTAATACAATTAAAAAAACACGCAATTCTGAAATCAGAGGTGTTACATAATTTTAGAATACCTGATAATTTTACTTAATTATTGGTTCGCCAAGCAAGCCTACACAATCGGCAAATATATTATAAAGGTAGATGTTTGTATCACATTGGTACGTCACGGTTTCATTCTCTATATCTATTGATAGATGACGCTAGTGTCTTAACGATAGGACAGTGAAATATTCAATTCAGTTACATGGACTGGTTTTGCGCTTACAATCAATACACGGTCGTATCTAGAGATATACCGCAGGTGGGACCTACCTCTAGTCAGGGTCGGCAACTCATATGACATTATACACTATCGCCATCTACCTACCTACAACCAACATAATAAACCACGTTAACAATGTGAAAATGATACTCGCCGAATTGCAGCAGTTAGTTCAGGGAGTATCATAGACAAGTGTTTTATAATTTTTCTACATATATTTTTTGAGCAATCACGTGTTATCAATAGACAATCAAGATGATATTATCGCAGTAAGTTTAAATTTGAAATATAAACTAGTCGTATATATCGATATCAAATATAATAAAACCGATGAGAATTCTATGTAAGCTGATGTTATTCGTACACCGTTACAGTCCGGCAAATCGACACGAAGACCTATGTAGTGTGTAGCCCTATTTAACTTTATTATTAAACAACGGTTACAGCTCCGCAGTTGCGCAGTGAATTTGTTATTACCTATCTATCTACATACATGTTCGCGTACAATCACCGGCGGCCACCAGATGGCACGTTGACACCGGCCGCTATATTTAACATAACATTTAACATACACACAGGGTTTAAGTTATTATACATTTTTGTGAGCAATCCCAATAGACAGCTCACCCTGAATACACATATTTATACTGTATTTATTTTTTTAATGTACTTATACCAGAAAGTTATAGTGAACGCCATCTAGCGTTGAACGACGACAACTACTTTAGAAGCACAAAAAAAGACACACAATTCTGGAAATATTCCAATACGAGACAGTTATGTGCTGTAAAATAATTTGTAATCTAAAACGAAACGTAAATTTGGATATTACCCGTATATGTTGTTGGTCGCAACTATTGCGTACAATTAAATTTCAATGCATCGATATGGTTTATTGTAGCGAATGATTGTGCTCATGTTTCGTATTGCGATTGATATAATAAAGGAAATGCCGCAACCACACATCGCGAGCCCCACATTAGCACCATACGATAATTCATAAATGTATAAAACCAGTAAAACACTAGCATTTTTGAACATAAATCATAACGCAAGTTTCACAATTTTTCAAAGATATGTTTTGATTGTTTACAATAGTTCTTTTTGAGATCCCTACGAAATAATGTTATACGACTTACTATAATGTTAGAATAAAATTATTGTGCAACTAATACTTATTCAAATATTAATATTATGTGTAAAAGAAATTAACAACGCAAACATTACCAGTGTTATCAATAAACAAGGTTTAGCGTCTAGATTCAATTTACACTAAAATAGCAATTTCAGTATTAGTCCAGATTCATATTATACAGAGAATAAGCAAACCTACTACCTTCTACGAGTACATATTTACTCCCTTAGAGCTATACTAAGTGCAGTCTCATCGTAAATTTAGTCCGAAGCTAAACCTTGTTTATTAGTATAGTAACACTGTAACAGTTTCCAGTCCGTTATATACGTCATAATCGAACCATTAACTAAACATAAATAAAACTTTAATATAAATACGAACTAATTACATCTCCTATTTCAGTATACACTACTGATTTTTATATTGTAAGTATAAATTAGTAAGTTATACAATATTATATATATCTTCAGTATACTGAAACATCTATAACTGTAGAAAATAGGTACAACATAAGTGTTTGTAACTCAACCAAAAAGGTATTTTATAATGCAAATTAGCGCACTACTTAATTTTACGTAGAAATTGTTTCACTTTCGCTATTTACTTTAGAACAGCAAATTTACATGATGAGTCAACATCTTCTACATAGTATGCTTCGTCTGTACCACGATCAGGGCACAAAGTAATATTAGTGTTCTTCCTTACACAATATACAATATCATTGCAGTTTTTGTAAAACTCCAATCTCATATTTTACGTGAAATATGGCAACATACATGTTTTAATCATAAGTACAGTCTATCTCTTTTTTTAGAGCAGATAGAGAGAATACTTTGTCAGTGCATTTCTTTAAAACGTTTATTTGACAATTTATATAGTATTTACTACCTATCCAGAAAGAGAAGTACTGTTCTTTATTATACAAGCATTGTCGAAATTTAGCACAATGCTTTAATATATTATTATGTTCTCATTAAAATATACTCTGCGAACGATATTAACATCCAATATGTTACAAGAAATATAGCCTTAATCAAACTTATCAACTAGCGATAAAAATACAATTTCCATGTACATACATTTGTAGTTCCAGTTCAAATGAATTCTACTAGAAAATAACGAGAGATTTCCAAAAACAAAATTCTCAACCTCGATAAAGAAATAGTAAAAAAAAAATTATATATACATAACAATAATTGTAAAAATATAAAGCGACAATTTAACCCACAGATATTGTTTATAGACTGACAGATCTTGATCAAAAATACATTTAAAACCAAATATTATTAAGTTGGCACACCTTCGACAATTGCCTAAAGAGGAATGATAAAAACACGGAAATATTAAAATTAATTCTTGAACCAGAACTATTATCAATCTTATATTCCGAGTGTTTAGGTAGAAAATTGAACTGACCATTCGCTCATATCTATCATGACAAAATTACAACTCACAAAAATTCATACATTCTGTATTAGTATGGCAGTGTAGCTTTCTTTTTTAATATTATTAACAGAAAAAAATAATCATTACCAGTACGCAATGTCTTCGTTATTTCTTTAATTATTTATATATTTAGATTTCAATGTTAAAATTTACAAAAAAGAAATTGTAGATATACGTATTGATAAAAACTTTCATCAACTGGGTACAGTAGATATATCATCTACATATTTTAGTTAAAATAGTGAGAAATAACATGAATTTGCCGCCGTAACAGACACATTATTAAATTTTGCGTGCTGACTACAATATTTTCCTGTATAATAAGAATATTATTATCTATTATATTAAATATATTTGCACATCCTTACCATTTCTTTCAATATAGAAATGTTAAATAACTATATATAAGGTTTCAGTTTAATTTTCTACCTGTCAGCAGGCAGCCGTTCACTGTGTGTGTATGTATATACAATACTTAGCCTCTGTCTCTAATCTCCGTCTATTATAAAATCTCACATTAACTGTTATGGCAGCGGCAGGTAATAAACGACCAGGTCTATTGTATGTATACAAGTGTAATCGTCATTATATTATATGCATTAATGTATAATTAAACTACCCGCACAATTTAAATATAAGTTTATATATATTGACATATTTATTAATACAAGGGATTCAGTACGATATTTACATTAAACACAAAGACGTCGCTGTACATCTGTAGATCTCGCTCAAGCTCAAGCTCTCGTTTAGGCCCCAAGTGTCGGCAAACATATAAACTACATCCGATACGTGGTCGAATGCACTCAATAATATTCACATTTATGTGATTGTGGATCTCTACACGTTCGGATTTGATGATTTTAATGTATTGAGCCAAAAACTCTATTCTATTGCGTAATCAAACGGTTCAGAAAGTATATAAGAGATCTCCTGTGAGAGTTCGTGCGATGGCGACGATATTAGCAGGTTACACAACATTTTGTGCATCCATTACGTTAAAAAACGGAAACCGCTCACTAAGCGAAAAAAAAATAGCTCACATCACAATGTGTTCTGGTCACAGTAAAACAGCCACAACGCAAAATTCGTGTTACGGTTCTAATGAAAACTCTAAAAACGCGTTGTGGCAATCACAGAAAGACCAAATAGCGAAGTTTGTGTCGTGGCCGACATGCTATTCGACCTCGACGCGTTGTGGCAATGAAGAAAAGCCGTGTGGCGTTTGGAACCATATTTTGGAACCGTATCACTCCCACTTTACAAGACGATAACATAAATTTGTTGATCGATAAGTTATAATAATATTTCTATAATTATAATGCCATCTATGTTTTAATAATTTTAATATAAATATCATTTCATAAATTAAAATGATAAAACACGATAGAAAACGTTGTTCAGTAGCAGCGCGATAATTAATTTTTAAAATATCTATTATGATTCTCAAGTTCAAGCCGAATGTTGACACAAAGAAATAACCGTATAAAATGTAAGCTTTATGCATCGTACACCAACAATAAACTGATAAGTGGAGGCAGGGGAATTGTGATTCACTTTGAAATCCGCGTGAATATTATGGCAAAATTCATATATGTTAATATGTACATAACAGGTATTATATTTTAATAATTACAAAAAAATCAAACCGTTTCCGATTTGAAAAATACCTTAATTGAAATTCCAAAATTCGATCCATATCAAGATCGGTTCACCGAACATCGTAAATTTCAACGTTGGATAAAATAATTTTAAAAGGTTTTAATAATAAGCCCGGGTACTCATTGAATACAATAATATTTTAGTATTTAATTTCTATTTAGAAATCTTTTATATGTATCCATTTAAAAAAATACCCAAATGTTCAATCGTCTTAGGTGCTCGCGACGGGATTCGAAGCCGCGACCTATCGCTAACCGAGCTGTTGCTCTCCAACTACCAGAGAGAGACCTTGACAAGACTTTTCAGTTGCTCGTACTGAACTATAAGATACGATAAGGACGATTCAAAAGTGCTTGTAATAGCCTACTTGAATAAAGATATTTTCATTTCATTTCATTTCATAAAATATGTATACATAAAGCATTACCAATGTAAAAATAAATCAAATGTACACTATCTATTAAATTACATTATCTCTACAACTCGACAACCAATTCATGTATCGAACATTATATTTTGTAAAATATTATTTAAATAAATAAAAAAAAAATCTTCTAGTATTCGGATATATATATATACATATAATCCATATAAGTTTTTGAGATCTGTGATTTATTGTGCGAGTATTCAGTTACTTTATTTATTACTTTTTCTATGAAGCATCTAAAATGTGTTGAATTAATACAACCAAACATTAAAATTTTCTTGAAAATGTCGGTTTTTATTATTCAAATAATCTCAATTTTTACCCCGTTATCTATCATATGATTGTCTAAAAAAAAAAGAATAGAATCTATAACAATTTTTTTGTAAGATAAAGCTATATATAGATCTTTTTGTTGAAAAGTTATTTAAATAGTTTTTCAACCTCGACAATTGATTACAATATAATATTATGTCATCACCATTCAGTGAGTACCCAGCGTAATAATGAGTCGAATGAAGTAACGTACCTAATAATAAACATTATAATAACGAGTTGATTATCGATTACTAACCAAATTAAAAGCATATTTTCATACACACTCATTCAATATGGCCATACAAACTATGTATTTAAAATTTCATCAATGTGTTACATTGAGTTTGGGTCGCTCATACATCCAAATAAGCGACGAGTACACACAATTATATTAATTTATCATAATAATGACACATTAACAATTAAATGTTTACATAAAGTTTTAAGTAATTTATTTAGGTCCGAGTAAGTGTTGCAACGGATTGTACGGTATCACCCGTCGAGTGCATGTTATGTATACATAAGTGTACGTCACCTGTCTACCATAGATAAAATATCATTAATTAGTATATAACACGATCTGATTCATCTACGACAATTGCAAAAATCTTATATTATTTTGGGGCGACTTTATATACAACAAGTACCTATGTATATATTTCTATTATACAAATATCTGAAACAATTTTGAAGACCAACATTATGCGTATCATTTTCACCAAAAATGTCATGTGTATATGACATTGTATATAACAAAATAACCTCACACATGTTCATATTATTAAAATAAATTTTAATAAAAATAAAACTAAAAATAATGTCCATATATCTGAATAGTGCACCGCATATATAAATATTGTTCTTTTTTTATCTAATTTATATAATATCAAAGTATAATTACAAGTTTATATCGTAGTAATGCCGAATCACCGTCGGTACGTATGTCATTATTGTTATTCATCAAGAATATTCGTGTAACACAGTTCAGCGAGAAATACACGAGTATAAGCGGGTGAGCGTCTCGATTCTATACGTGTACATAAAATTATTCTAATAAAAACCGTATCTAACCATCTCTGTAAAACATACATATTAAATCATAATTTTAACGATGCCAGAAAAAAAATCTTTTTGAATTATACCGCTCCGTCTTCACTATTTAAAGTCAAACGCTCACCCGATTATCGCGCAGAACACCCGAAGAGACGTTTCTTTTCTGCTTCCCAATACACAAAACTGTCCACGGCCACAGCGCCACTTTCCTCCAGATCAAATCTGGATCGATCACTTCCGACTCTCACGACGTTAACTCGCGGATCGCGGCGCCGGACAAAGTTCACGCGGCGAGCGAGCTCAAACGCGGCGCGTGGGGGGCGGGGGCGGTGCAGAGGGCGGTGTAGGGGGCGGGGGCGGGGGCGGGGTGCTCTGCCACTAGCTGGGCGGGTGGGGGTCGGCGCTGACGATGACCTGCACGACGTACCCGGGCGTGACGCGCGCCTCCTCCACCAGCAGGCGGTCGCCGAGCAGCTTGCCGCCGTAGAACCAGCGCTGCCGCCATGGCTCGATGTTCTCCTGCGCCTGGTGGGACAGACGTCACGTTTTTAAACAGCGCACAATGTTTTTTTCTCAGGTTTAGGAATGAGGATAAATATTCATTGACACTTTAAACAGTTAGGGAAATGTGGGTATATGGATAAAAATCGGTCGACGACCTCCAGATATATCTATGCTTTTTAAAATCGGCTAAAATGTTTATGACGGTAACAAAGAGGGTATTAAAACTTGTGCACTGATTAAAAACCACATAGGTTATATATACTTTATAAAATATTTTTACCAAATAAACGAGAAATCAAATTAAGTAGGAACCATTAATAGTTATAATATTATTATTATTAGCTATTGACAGTTCTTACTTCAGTCAGATTCTCGTCTATTGGTTAAAAATATCTGCTTAAACCACACCATTTTGTCAGAGAAAAACTTCTCTCGACTATAGACACGAGTGTGAGTATTGTTTTCTTAACTCATAATAAAAAAAATCGCTCATTTTCGTGACGGGCCCTTGTACTATACGCAGATCTCACAGGATTAGAGTGCCCTACACGAGCCCTCTACACGACGACGACATACTTAATTGCCTACAGTTTGAGATTTTGCGTATCATTCGTCATTTTATTGTTTACAACCATTGGCATCGGGGGCCCGGGGTGTATCACTGATACAGCAGCGTCTCTGGTATTGAAAGGAACACCAGCATTCTGATGCTTAGCGGTATGAAGAATAAAATATTATGAATATGCAATTAACTATCCACCTTAATTATTATAACGTACTTTGACTATGTGCGAAGTGTTGTAAAAAGCTGAAGAGTTTATTTGAACTCGCTAATCTCAAGAACTACTGGTGCGAATTGTCTTGTTTTTTATTGAATAGTCCATTTATCGAGGATGGCTAATATCACGTTATGACTAATAGGAGTGGAGGGGCAATGAAAAATGTTGCAAAAACAGGAGAATTTCAAAAAGGAAAATTTTTTGAGAGCTCTCCTTGTGTGCGCTGCGTAAACGGTGAAAGGTACGTAAAATCACGTATTACGAAATCTTGGTAAAGTATACGAAAATGTATGTAATCACTAGATGACACCACTGTTCTTTTAAAACCGGATTTTAATTTTTTGAAATTTGGTGGCTTTATTGTTTTTCTGATATTTATCAAACAAAGTTGCTTTAATTTTCAATTATGCGGTTTTTAGGATTCCGTCGTCAACTAGGAATCTTATAGTGTCATGTCCTTCTGTCTGTCCGTCTAACCGCTTTTTAGCTCAAAAAACGATTGGTATTAGAAGATTGTAATGTAGCATGAGTATACACGATAATTACGCCGAGAAAGTGGTCATGTTTTTTCGATTATCGCCCCTACATGTAAAGTAGGTGGAGAATCTTTGGATAGGTCTTTAAAAAAATATTAAAAGGGTGGGGACACTTTCTTTCGATTTAGTTAACCGATCGTGACTTATTAAGCTTCTATGTGGCAATTTTCGTTACACTCAAATGCCCGTTAACCACCGAAATACCGGTATTATTCCCATTATTTGGTCAATCTATTTGGCAGGCCTATGCCCTAGCAGTTGGGACGTTGCTAAGCTAATGATGATGATATAAAGTTGGATGGTCACTGGCAGATTTTTAATTAAGATTAACTTAAGACTCCAGTGTAACAGATCAGTGTGCACATAGTACCCTCGGATAACGTGGGCGAATCATGTTGCAGCTAGTATATATAGGTATATATATATATATATATATATATATAGATATATATATATATATATATATATATAGATATATATATATATATATATATATTGAGCAACATCATATACAATGTTCGGATCCCAAGTTGTGTAGCTAAAGCAAGTGTCACGAAAATCGGACGGCGATATCACAACCACCCAAAACAATATAGAAAAGATTTCCTAATAGTTTCCTATACTGACGGGGCCTCAGAGACACGTGGGGCACGTGGACGATGATGAGAGATATCTAGAGAGAAATACGGCTGTGGCATTCCATCTTTAATTTTGTTCCTAGTAAAAGAAAACAGCACCTAATCACGTTTGCGTTTGGTCAAAACTTTGACGCTACTACTTGTGTTCACAAACGTTAGTTCGGCATCACCAAACAAGTTTGCTATGACTCACTGCGCGAATGTTTGTTTCCCAAAAGATTGCGTACGTTTCACTTGCGGTGCTTGTCATTTGGATGTTACAACAGTATTTTATACTCTTAAGCGACGTTGCGTCATCGTTCATCGTTTAAATCAAAGTTTTCATATAAATTGGTCACATCATTAAATCAGTTAATAAGTACAATTTGTTACACATATGTCAATTTTCTGTATAAAATTTATTACAACAAGAAAAGGAAAAGATGGTAAACTTTAGGTATATTTGTGATTTTATTTCTGTCGTTTTGGGTCGTTTAGTTTTAGACAGACTCTCTAACGTAATTTTCTATTTATTAATTATAGCTAATTTGTACGATATTTCTTAGTACAATCGAAAAATTATTAGTGGACCCATCCTCTTTATAATATCTAATAACCTAGCTAATTTATGAAGCGTGTTTTATCGGTCATAAATATAGTTTAACAAAATTACATGTTACTTGGTTTCGAAAATGGGCTTGGTATCAGAGGATTATCACAGTACATTTCGTTTACTTAATTGTGAATTGTGTTGTGAAGTCGAAAGATAAATTAACGAAAGTCAACCTTTCGACTTCAGACTGATGGTGAATTAAATTTAAATTTGTCTAAGACAAAGTTAAGCCACTCGTAAGTTCGAGTATGTTTTGATCCACTATAAAATACATTATACATTCATCAAAATATAAGAAATGAACAGTAATCATCATTTCGATTACAAACTTGTTAAGGTAACGTATCTATGGTTTCTATAATGAAACTAAAACAATATCCAATTTTAATGAATATTGAAACATGGTAATTATAATTAAAAGCAAAATACATTAATTTCTATCGCAAGCAAATCTCATTGGTTGGCCTTACAATAAAAAAATTCAAATGAATTGAATCCAAAAAAATGAATTTTATACAACTTTAGACTTCAAAGTAAATGAGTAAGGTGCAAATGTAAGTGATCAAAGGATTAGTATAAAAACCTCATTTTTGGAATTTTGTTGCTTACAATGTTTTTCCTGAATAGGCTCCATATGTTTCATAGATTGCAAATCAATAAAAGTATGTCTAAATTGTATTAAGAGGTGAAATATATGACTTACTTATAAAGGATTTCAACAGTAAAACTGTTATTTTTTGTAAATATAGGAGAGCTGTAACTTAACATATGTATGCCAAGGACTGCTGCTATATAATCGAATAAAATAACACAATTTATGTGATGATACTGCAAAGATCTGCTTTACTTTGTATACAAATGTGACCATAATGTAAAATTTGAGTTAACTTGTTTATTCATGAGTGATAATGTACTTACATGCAACTTGTTCTTGCACTGCGCTATAGTATGCCTGGAGTAGACCGCCAGGTCCACGTCCTTGCAGGTGCTGGACAGCCGCAGGCGCAGGGACACCTCCGCGCCCCCCTCCACCGGCTCGGACCACTCCGCCGGGGAGTCGCGCCCGCTCGCCTCCTTGACCATATTTATGGGCGGCGACAGGCAGTAGATTGGCACCTTTAATTTCGAAACCACTTCTATGTTATGTTAATGATGGAAATTATATAGGACCTGATAAAGTTCCTTAAAGAAGTCCTAACTTGATAACAATAGTTGATTTATTAAATATAAAGAGCACATATACTATTCTATATTCTGTATCAGTAATTACCAAAAAATGGTCTGCACAACCCTAGAGCTACATAAAAGGGAGAGTTAAATAAAACATTCATACCAAAAACTTATCACTTCATCAGACTACCAAATATATTAAATTATCTAAATACAAATCCTCCAAAAAATGTGAATTAGGAAAACATTGGGAATTCATATACTATATCAAGCATAGATGATACTCCAATATCAAGTGAAATGGAATAAAAAATATGCTTGCTTGATATGTATTTGATAAACCTGAATTTCCAGCTCCATCATTTCTCTCTATTATAGAATGATTTTTTTTTCATTTTAATAAATATTTATCACTGTCTTTCCAAACTGACAATGACACTGACAAATTAAATTATAAAATCAAAAATATTGAATAAAATTAAGAATAGAATAAAAGGATCTCTTAGTTGGTAATTAGTTTATGATTCCCATCATTTTGAACAATTATATTTTTAGTACTCATGGATAATTTCATATTATTTTACATTTGAGAAGAGTGAGAGAATGAAATGACAACAAGAGGAATGAGTGTTTTGTTCATTTATTACAATCAAAATAATATTTTCATTTCATTTATGATATCTTGATAGTCAACAACACAACTATAAGAATTAAATTGTGATTTTCTCTGACTTTGTATTTATTGTCCTCTGTAATTGGTGGACATTCAACTATAAATATTACTATTGCTTAATGACTCTTTATTCAGTGAATAGTTTTCCTTATTAAATACTTCCTTTATAACATTATATTCATTACACTACCATAAATGAATAAATTATTATTATATTAAATCAATGAATAGCACATCAAACAAATTCATATACTTAAAAAACTAAAATATAACCATTAAAACAGCATTAAACTCCAAGACATTAAACAAGCCCTTGACTGACAACATGCTGCAGTGGGACACTGCTGTGGCTCCAATTTCACTTACAAACTAATTTTACTATCCATTTATTCATAGTTCACTATCTTATGTTGTTTGGGAAATTTCTATAACCATGTTTGAGTCATCTTATTGTTTCATTATGGTGTACACAGTAAACCAATTGTTTTTCAGCTTAAATTTGTAACTTTAATGGTAATCTAAAATTAAACAATATTTAGGTTCACTTAAAAAAGCAGTTTATTTACAGTTTTTTATCATACCATCTTTCCATCTAGAATTATAACCTGCTAATTGTAAAATGGCAGATGCCAGAAGCAGACATCCTTTCTTGTACACTCTACAGGACATTACCAGCATAAGGGTCAAGATGTCATTCATAAAATTTAATCACTAGCTTTTGAATTTAAGAAACTTGTGTTTCAGAATTAATTATGTTAAAAGTTGCGTACCTGATATCTTGTTCCCCATTCATCATAGCATTCAGTCAAATAACCATTCGGCACAGAGACACTAGCTCCGTCTAAAATGGCTTGAGCTAGTTGAAAGTCCATAGCCTCAGCTGCGACAGCCGCTGCACGTAGCGCATCCCATATTTCCTTTCGACCCTCGAAAGCAGGAGCCGTATCCCAAAACTCATCTCTTTTGCTCCTCAGTTGACCTTCCGTCAATGGCACATCCGACTTCCACCTTATCGTCTCATGGCAAAGTGACTGGTTCTTCCGAAGTCCACCTGCAAGATTAGGCACGTTGAAAGCGTTACATACAAACACTCAGAGTTTATAAGTCACCACTAGTATCCACGGCGACAAAATAGCCCTACGTACCGGAATTGGGACGTGACACTGTACCCGAAGATTCTTCTATAGGCCCACTTCTGCTTCTAGTTATTCCGATGCAACCACCCATTATGATCACATTCTACAACGGCTCATTTATTTAACAATATTTACCAAAAATATTTCACAAATAACATTACTGTACAGCTTCGATGCACTCCTGTCAAAAAAAATTAACTATGAATGCGTTTTGTTACCGCACCTCAATATCAAACGAAAATTATAAAAAATGAAATAAAATAAATGTCTTCTCAAGTCTAATTTATAAATATGCATCTAATCACTTAATAACGATGTATAGATTGAAAGCCAAATGTATATAAAGGAAAATAAAACCAAACGCTATTGAATTTCATTTTGTTTTGCAGGGAGTCAGAGTGATTTTTTTGACACTACAAAAAATCTGCAAAACCCATCTCCAAATAGTGCCAGAAAAAAGCCATCATATTTCATATTTTTGCGTACTTAGAGTAGGCGCAGTGCGACACAAAACAGTAGAAAATAAATAAGAGCGCCCCTGTTGACTTATAGACTATCATGTTATCTCTCTTCAACTACTGAGATTTTTCTTTAGTAAACAAAGATGGCCCTAGTTTGACAGTACCAATTTTTTTACGTTTTTTTCACCTACAGATACATACATTATACGCGGATGACTTGAGACAAAATTTATGTATGCGAATTCGCGAGAAAACAGCTAATTGGTTAATATTTTACTAATAAATTTCTCAATTTTTAAATAATCCCTTATTTTATAAGCACAACATGCTTCAAATTTGATTTATAAATTAAGTATAACACTTTTCATCTACCAACTTCGTTTTATTTACAGTATTTTCATATTGTTAATATGATAAGTACGTATTTCAATACTTTCCATCATAATAATATAATGACATGACATAAATTTTAGTAGTTTCTTTATTTTTTTAATATACTTCCTCATTATGGTTCCATCAGCAGGGACGACCGGACGTGTGGCATGACGATCGATATTGTCCTTATTATTAGTGACGTGTTTTGTCGACATATAAAAAAAATCCTAGTTCCTTAATCGATATATCTATAATCGGATAAATCGATTTGGATCAGGTTTTCGATATACCTGGATATATTGTTCGCTTCCCTAGTCTTGTCAATGTCAAATTGTTATTATTAGTTTTATTTTTATTGTCGTAATAGAGAATTTACGCTGGTTTATTTTGCATTACGCTACATATTATTTTTGCAAATAGGGCTTAAAATTGTGTTCTATTGAATTTGAATACTACGCTCATATTTATAAAAACAAAGAGTCTATTTGTTCCTTTGTAAACTTGGACAACAGATAAATATCTTAGATGAGATCTAATTTGTTGTCTAATTACTAGGATGGATTATACTGCTGTTATAAACACTAAAGATCATAGAATTCCTCACGTAAGTCACTATAATCACCTATTAATTCTACAGCAATTCCAGATAGAGTATAATTGATAAATCCTAATTGAATTTATCATATCTTGTTATATTTTTATTATAGATACAACCCACAGCATTCTACATACCGGAGTTTTTAACCGCGAATGAGGAGAATATTATATTGTCCAATATTTATGCAGTTCCAAAACCAAAATGGACTCAACTTTCTAACAGAAGACTACAAAACTGGGGAGGAATACCTCACGTCAAGGGAATGATTGCGGAAAATATCCCACAGTGGTTAGAAATATATCTTGAAAAAATTCATCAACTTCATTTGATGGATGGAAAAAAACCAAATCATGTATTAGTAAATGAGTATTTACCTGGACAGGGGATAATGCCCCATTTGGATGGTTCTTTATTTTATCCAACCATTACTACAGTATCTTTAGGATCACATAGCATTTTAAAATTTTTAGAACCCAGTAAAGAAGAAGGCAAAAAGTCAATGGTCCACATTTTTTCATTATTATTGGAACCAAGGAGTCTATTGATTCTTCAAGATAAACTATTTAGTTATTATTTACATTGTATAGAAGAAGTAACTGAGGATTTATTAGATGATTCTGTAGCCAATCTATCGATGTGTTCTGGCAAATATGTCAAAGGCTCCACATATTCAAGAGATACCCGTATATCATTGACAATAAGACATGTTCCTAAGACCACTGTGTTTAAACTAAATATTGGAAATAAAAGATGAAAGTTGATAAATGTGTTTTAATTTTAGTAATATGTATTGTTATTTAATATTAATTATTGTATATTATTTACTTCATTAACTATAATTATATCCCTGCCATGTGATAAACATAACATTATTGAATTTCCCCTATTATTTATTCAAACTTATATATAAATGGTGAGACTAGAGGATATATGGAATGCAATAGTGATGACCATTGTATAACAGATGAGGTATGCACCTCTCCCTCTTTTAAAATATCAATAATACATTGATATTAAGTATTTCTTGATTCTTCCATTTTTAAATTTATCCAAAATTCCAATAGCAATATAATCTAGATGGTTCAATTTCGATGTTATAATCAAACATAAGTTTTTGTAATTTTTTTATGATGGTTTTAAAAAATTTTTTTTTCAGTGCAAAATATATTCATAGAGGAGTGGTAAATCATGTAATAGCAAAGCGAAATTACAGTAGTGCAGCCCCACCACCAAAAAATGATCCAAACAAAGAAGATAAAGCAGAAGTCGAAAACATAAGTGGGGATGGGAATAAGGTACATTATTCATTTTATTAGCCCATTGCTGGGTCATTGCTGGGTCGTTCCTAAGAAACAAATCAATTTCAGCCTGGTAATGTGTAATGTGTCTTTGTTAAACTTCCAAAAATCAGAGACTTTACATACCTACTAACTGCTCTACCGGAGAGCTCTTTAATCTCCTTCAATTCCTTCAGTAAAGGTTTATCAGGTTCTTAGAACATTATTTAAGTATACACCGGATTACTTCATTAATTGAATTGATTTTTTTGCTTGAGAGAAAAAGAATCACAAATACAATTTAAATAATATTCCATACTAAATTGAAAGTCTAAAGCAAACGTAATGAAGCAGTTGATTATTATTCTCCACCAGTCATATTGTTGAATTTGCCGTCTGAGGCTGCTGTTATTTTAACCCACATTAACCCAATGTTGGATCTTATTTTTACTTATAGAACCGTTAGTAACAAAATATTTTATTCCATTAATTTGTGGGGTGGCAAATCTTAGGTTGACTGACCGCAGATTGGAGTCACGATAGTTTTAGGGAAGACAATTATTAGTCAAACGCAGACAAATGGTAACACAAGTTACAGTTGCAGACAGATTTACAAATGTTATAAATAAATTAGTTTACGATTTGTTAAGTTTCCGAGACTGCATATTTTTGTATGGCAATTGTTTGTCTTAAAATGATTAAGTCTATTCTCAAAGATTAATGGCGCCGAACCATAAAATACGTTAGTGATTTACAGTAGTGATATATTTATATAGAAAGGGTTGGTGATCGGAGTGTACGAGGCGGATGGGAAGTTCGAGCTGACTCCGGCCGCCGCTGAGGTCGACCAGAAGAGCGGCGGGAAGCTCTGCAGACATCTTAATGAGTGAGTTTACTCATATTTTGATATTGTTTTGATGATGACATATGTGTCTATACATTCGTCTTCAGAGCCAAAAGATGTCCTTTAATGGGGGGTAGGTCAAAAATATTTGACCGTTCGTAATTTTTTGCAATAAGCTGATGTCACTTAACTATGATGCCTTGTGTCAAAAAGTCGCTATGTCCGAGGTAAGATCCTGGGAGTGTCAAAATTAAAAAGTACTTCCTCTATATCATCCTCGGTCTTAGTGTGACTTCTTAATATTAATTTCTGATGCTCCCGCTCATCTTTATGTTATGGTTGAACATTAATTTCTCATATATTCAAGTTATTTTAGAACATCTGTTCGGTTCTATATGCAACGAACAGCAATAATTATATTTATGCAAGTAAGCACTTTATACTTTACATTTAAAATATTAATTCAGTACGACAAACGCTACCATTTACGCAACTCGTGCTCAATAACCAGAAATACCATATACATAAAATAATATATTTAACCAATTTTTAGTGATAATAATAATAGTTAATTTTACCATTTATTACGTGTTATATGTAGTCATTATTATACGATTTTATAGACATTTTCGACTTCTTATTTATATCTAACGCAAAAGGAGACTTACCACTAAACGCCGTGTGGAAAGAAACCTTTTCATGGTCCTTCGAGAAAAAAGGACTTCGGTTCGCGAATAACTTAATAATTACTGTTTCGTGGAGTCGAGGACCTACTAAACCAACCAGTGACTATAGTGAACAGTGACAAAATAAGGATTGCAGTGAACAGAATCCAGTACAAATTGCAAGCCGAGTAAGGAGAGTTTAAGGTCAGATCTAACCTTTATATATATTTCACATCGTATTTTAAATCATGGAGTCACTTTTTGTTAACCAAACGGAGATATATGAAACTCTGAAAAGATTTGTAACCAATATTAAGAAAGATGGAGCTGATAGGAAAACTAAGGAATATTGTAAGCGCAAGCTTGAATTACTTGAAAATTATTGGAGTGAATACCAGCGAAATCACACAAAAATGTGTGAACTAGCGGAATTTGACCATGTGTATTTTACCAAACATTGCTTTGATACAGCGGAAGAACTCTATTTAACTATAAAAGATCTTGTTAATAATATTTTAGAACAAATAATTTCAAAGGAGCAGTTAGGTAGACGGACCGAGCTAGTGCAGCAAGACGTTACCCCTCGAAAACCGGAAGTAGAGGTTCTATACCAACCAGGACCGTCAACTAGTGCTGAATCGTTAGCAGTTTCGCACAACCGTCAACCACAGCATCTTGATACGTCTAACAAAAACACCAAGTTAGACGAAATGATTAAGAAGCAAACCATTAATTTTAAGGCATTTATGCGTACAGTAAGCTCTATAGATATAGAAAGTTTAGAAAATCGATGGGAGTTCGAAGATGCTCTCAGATCGCTTCAAACTCGGTGGAGCACCATCGATACCTTACATTGGGAGATAGAAGGTGAAGCTGAAGACTATGAAGGTATCTATCAAGCGCAATTCAACAAACACGAAAAAATATTTAATAATTTGAAGAAGACCATTAACACCAGGATGTGGTCTGTTTCGCATAGGGAAAAGTCGACACCGCAAATGGATATTCCGATGTTTAGCGGAAACTACCACCATTGGATTTCCTTTAAAGATTTATTTAATGAAACCATTCATAAAAATCCGTCTTTAAGCAACGCACAAAAAATGCAGTTTTTAAAAAGTAAGGTGACCGGGGAGGCTGAGCGTGTGATTCATCATCTTCAGATCAGCTCTGAAAACTATGAAGTGTGTTGGGAATTACTAAACCATCGTTACGGAAATAAACGTTTGATATTAACCTCGCACCTAAACACTTTATTAGGACTTCCAAATATTCAACACCAATCATTAAATATGATAAAAAAGCTACACGACGTTACAAAGGAATGCTTGTATGCTATTCAAAATTTAGGGATCGATATCACTAGTTGGGACCCTCTTTTAGTACATTTATTAGCGCAGAAACTAGATAGTGAATTATTCTCGGAATATATGGAATTTGTGAAAAAACCACGCGAGTTACCTGTCCTTCAAGATCTACTAGATTATTTAGAAAGCAAATTTACGACTTTAGAAGCTTCGAAACGCAAACAAGAATCATTTAACCAAAAAGGAGTCAATCTCAACCATAACCATGATCAACCAAAATATCAAGCTTTTCCATCTAATCAACGATTCTATAATAATCCGAATATGAATTATAATTTAAATAAAAATCATTCACATAACTCAAAAATTGTAAAAACATTCAATCTAACTAGGTCAGTTGCCTGCACATTGTGCAACGCTGACCACGGATTATGGCAATGCAACAAATTTTTACAAATGACTGACGAACAGAAATTAAAGTCCGTGAATCAACTAAATTATTGTCATAATTGCTTAATTAACCATTTTAATAAAACATGTTTTTCCACTAAACGATGTCGCAAATGCCTTGGTAATCATAACTCGTTATTACACGAGGCGTTATCCAAACAACAATCAAATCGACCAACAAAACTAAACTCAAATTTTAAACCAATCACATCGCATCTCGTTAACAAAGATCGTACGCCAACATCCACTCACGTCTCATGGGATGATTTGTCGGAGATTCTATTAGCTACCGCATTAGTGAATGTCACAGGGTCAGATGGAAGTCAGCACACCATGAGAGCATTAATCGACCAAGGCTCCCAAATTTCTCTAATAAGTGAACAAGCGGCACAACTTTTAGGGTTCAAACGAAATTATTGTAAAGGAAAAATTTATGGTGTAGGCGAAAAAGAAAATAGCTGTAAAGGAATGATTAATATTAAAATTCAATCTAGATATACTGAATTTTGTATTGAGACGAATGTGATAATAATGAGTAATTTGATAAAAAGCTTTCCAAACAAAACGTTCATTAAACCATCGTGGTCACATACACAAAATATTAATCTGGCAGATCCACAGTTCAATACAAGTCGACCAGTAGACTTACTTCTTGGAGCGGAAGTTTATAGTAAAATTATGTTAGAAGGTATGTTGCGTGGGAAAAATGAAGATCTACCAATCGCACAACAGACGCAATTAGGATGGCTGCTTTGCGGCGCTATGAAACCTTTATACCACTGCAACGTTGTTCTTCACAACAGCGATGATTTAACTCGGTTTTGGGAGAATGAAGATATAAACCAGCAAGTTGAAATGACTAATGAAGATCATGAGTGTATGCAATACTTTTTGTCAACCACTAAAAGACTGTCGAACGGAAAATATGAGGTTCGACTTCCATTTAACCCTGAATTGAAAGAAAAATTAGGTTCTACGAAAGAAAAGGCGTTAACACAATTTCGTAGCTTAGAAAAGAAATTAGAAAATAATGAAAGTTTAAAAATTGATTACCAAGCATTTATCAACGAGTATTATAATTTAAACCATATGATAAAATCAGCAAGCACGACACCCGCGAGTTATTTACCTCATCACGCAGTTACCCGAGAACAATCAACCACAACTAAATTAAGAGTAGTTTTTAACGCTTCCTCGAAATCAAAAACCGGATACAGCCTTAATGACGTTTTATACAGAGGACCAAATCTCCAACAAGACATTCAGGAACTCATTATAAAATGGAGACAGTATAAATTTGTATTTTCTGCCGATATTGAGAAAATGTACAGAATGATCAGAGTACATAAGGAAGACCAAACTTACCAAAAAATTTTATGGAGAGAATCTCGAAACCAACCTATTTCAACATACCAGTTAACCACTGTTACATACGGGACAAAACCAGCTCCCTTTTTAGCTATGATGTGTTTAAAACAATTGGCATCAGATGAAAAGAAAAGTTTCCCGACTGCAACAAAAGCTTTAGAAAATAATTTTTATATGGATGATTTTTGCGGCGGTCACCACGAAATTAATTCAGCGGTAAAATTAAGAGATGATCTAATAAAATTGCTTCAGTCAGCAGGATTTAATCTGAGAAAATGGACGGCTAACGAACCATTCTTATTAGAAGGCTTAGAGATCAGTCAACAAAACCAAAAAACATATGAATTTAAAGAAATAGATTCTTCTAAGACTTTAGGCCTAAGTTGGAATCCACAAAAAGATACATTTACTTTTGAGTCAAAAATTAGATTAAATTCATCACCACCAACGAAAAGATCATTGCTGTCAGATATTTCTAAATTGTTCGATCCACTGGGGTGGCTCACGCCATTAAGCACCAAACTCAAGGTACTTTTTCAAAAAGTATGGTTATGCGATTTAAAATGGGATGATACTTTACCTAACGATATAATTAACGAGTGGAATAAATTAAAATATGACTTGGCTGAAATAAATACAATTGAAGTCAAAAGATGGCTCGGAATAAAAGAAAACCAAATTGTAGAGTTGCATGGATTCTGCGATGCATCGAAAAAAGCATATGCAGCAGTTATTTACTGTAAAATTATCAACGGGGCTGACGAGATCACAACAACTCTAATCGCGGGAAAATCAAGATTAGTTCCTATTAGTAAAGAAGTATCGACCCCCAGATTAGAGTTAATGGGAGCAAAACTCTTATCTGAACTCATTAAAAAAGTCCAAAAGTGTTTAGCGGATTATAAAATACATATATATGCTTGGACGGATTCTACGGCAGTCTTAGGATGGTTACATGGAGATCCAGCTCGTTGGAATACCTTCGTAGCGAATCGTGTAAAAGATATAGTATCGTCAATACCATCACAACAATGGCGTTATGTAAGAAGCGATGAAAACCCTGCTGACTGCGCAACTCGCGGTTTGACCACTAAACAATTAAAAGACCATAGTTTATGGTGGCAAGGCCCTTCATGGCTCCCATCATACACGAAAGATAAAGAAGAAAAAACCAGTTACAAGACTAATTTAGAAGTGAAAAAATCATTATTACTGCAAACTAACACCGTGATTATGAAACCATTTAATAAAAACATAATAAATATTGTAAATCATTTACTAACTACCTATAGTTCAATAAATAAAATCATACGTATTTTCGCGTGGATATTGCGCATACCTACCTATAAAAAGGTTAGTCACCCGCCATATCTCACCTTACATGAATTACGTCGTGCAAAACTGCTTATAATTAAAAATATACAACAATTAGAATTTTTTGATGACCTGCATAACTTAACGAAAGACGGGAAAGTACACTGTAAAAGTAAAATTTTAAATCTCAATCCAGTATTAGACTTTGATGGAATTATACGTGTGGGCGGAAGATTGAGAAACGCAGAGATCAGTTTGGATATGAAGCATCCCATTATTATACCACCTAACCACCGGCTAACAATGTTACTGATACAGCAGGCTCACGAACTAACTTTTCACGGAGGAGCCCGTCTTACATTAGCTAACTTAAGACAAAAGTATTGGCTCAAAAATGGTTATATGACAGTTAAAAAATTTATACGACAGTGTGTTACGTGTAGAAAACAAAATCCCGATAAGCAATACCAGTTAATGGGAGACTTACCAGCAGCTCGCGTCAACCCTGAAAAAGCATTTTACCATTGTGGAGTTGATTACACGGGATTTGTGGAAGTGAAAGCCAATAAGGGCCGCGGGATTAAAACCACAAAGGGATATATCGCACTTTTCATCTGTATGACGACAAAAGCTGTTCATTTAGAACTAGTTTCAGATTTGAGCAGTTCAGCTTTTCTAGCAGCTTTAAGCAGAATGTCAGC